AAGATTAAGTACAACATGCACACTCCTGATTTCACCATGAAACATGCATTCTAAATGCATTACTCTAGGGGCCTACACAGTTCACAAATTAACTCACAATGCTGAAGTGAAAAAATTTATATTTGTCCTTACTGGCCTTAATATAGAGAATCTTTTGAAGTAACTTTCTGATGCAGAAGAGAAGAGCAAGGTATTCATAATCTTTTGCTACATGTGGGATCGCAGTGCAACTCGATGCGCAATGGTATATACACGAATAAACTGAAAAATAAAGTCCTCCTTACCTTCTGAACCACTTGTCCCTATTCCAGGATGATAACTTTCTTTCACCTATTAGCCTAAGTTATGTCCATGAAATTGCAATATTACTTCAATTAAATCTTCCCCCAAAATCAAGGCCACTTGAAACCCATAGCAACGCAACCATAAGCATCATAGCGGGGATATGCAATAAAGGCACTCGATGATTAACAGTTTCCAGCACTGCCTTACTTAAGTACTGATTGTCATGTTAATATTTACTGTAATCATACAATACAAACAATTCTGCCAAATAAAAATTCCTGACCTCTTTCCACTCTTTGCCGTTCTGTGATTTACTGGAATTTAGTCACTGAGAAGTGCAAATACAAATTTTTATCATAGGGGCTGAAGCTCATGGGAATACACTGTCTATATTATGATGTCAGAAGAGACTATGCACGTTAGGTCAGCTTCATTATATCAGATCTAAAAAAAGTAAATAGGTGCAATGCTTGACATTGATCCTAAAAATATATTTGTTTATTTCTCTTCTGGACCACGACTATTTTGCAGACATGGAGAAATAGTGACATCGTATAGTTTTGCATTCTCGGGAACCACCTACCTGATTCTTAAATTAGTCTTAATTGTGGGTAATAATTCTGTAAACAGTTCAGTACGGCTTAATTTTATCAGACTGAGTGTGAGAAAAAATTTTAATTTATTGGCATTGGATTAATAACGACTACCACGAGTAATAAGAACCCTGAAGTTACCAATTTCATATATTTGTGTTTTGCATAACCTTCACTTAGTTCTCAGGTTTTCCTATGTTTCACGAACAGAGGTTGTCATGTGAGTCAGACTGGGAGCTGAAGACTGAACATGATGTTCCTCAACCTTTCTGAGTATCGCTTGAGAAGGCTCAGTGAAAATGACCTTATGCATTCATAATCCACCGGTGTCCACCCAAAAGGGAACATGATGTTCCAACAACGTGAATCATTTTAGTAATGAGGAAAGTGTGGGAGTGATCGCACACGACAGATGATTAAATGTAGTCACGCATAAAAGAAGAAAGAGTTGGTATCATTTGGCTGCCTTTTAAATAAGTTAAGCAATTAGATGAAGTGGCATACTTATCAAACAAGATGTCAAAACAAATTTTCTTAACAACTCCTATGATATCAGCCTAATTGTGACTCGAACAGTGGTGGCTGCTCTCACCTTCAAAACAAGTAGGAGGAGTTGAAGAACTGTGATCCAGAACTGTGACGGGACCAATAATTTTTGACACGCAACTGGGATAGCTTTGTCTAACCGAGTAAATAACTCTATTTCTGCAAAACTGTCGAAGAAAGACTAAGTGTTTTATCACATCACATTTCTTAAAAGTCTTCCCTTAGTCAAGTTTACGGGACTAATGGAATCAACCATTTCAAGGCCACTGGCACAGTCGTTCTTATTTCGTCATTTTTTATAGGTGACAAAAGTGAGACTTTTGTTTTCATATTCATCGCTCGACCAAGTAGAGAGACAATGAAACGGTCACCCACCTTTAAAATTTCCATAGAGGACTCCAGGAGAGATTCAGAGCTCGGTATTAGTGGTATGATTTATAACCCTGCTTATCCCTAACTTGACTGATAATCTTTTAGAGTATTTTCAAGCAATTGAAACGCTGTTCATCCTAAATCAATTGCGAGAACAGCATCCCATGTACGCGAAAATAAGAGTGGGTCAACCTGGCTATAACATAAGTTCCTTCGGAATTATACGGCTTTATAATGCAGCCTGATGTAAACTCCTCTAGACTATCAGAAACTTTAGAACACACTTCAAGATGAGCTCCACGTGAACATATGAAGCCCGAAAGCAAAAATAAACAGCATCCTCATTCTAATTAGTATCACGAATACATCCGGGAAAATAGAAGTTAACCACAGCGTATCAGAAGTTTTGCCGGTGCTGGCATTAATTAAATGTTGTCTGTAGTATGCCGTGTGTTAAGGCTTTGTTGTTCACCAATTAGTCCTCCGGTGTCTTCATTAAAGGAAAAGAGATAGCAATAGTAACAGATATAATAAGCGTAGGTTACTCAGACTGAAAGGCAGAAAAAGAGATGAAGAAAACGTACAAACTGACGGCCAATTAAATTTGAATCTGATATATATCTATACACATATATAAATATATATGTATATAACAACAATAATAATAGTAAATGTGCATTGTAGTTGGAGTAGTCAGGAGAGTAAGACATGAGAGAATGTAAAGAATTGAATGGACGAATTCAGATATCTACCCACCGATAGTGTAAATGGTCTTAAGAGGATTGACCATTTGGACGCTGTACTTGTGTCGCTGCACGATTGTCCCGCCTCCGTCTAAATATATCCAGAGCCGACGCCGGTAAAAAGTTCCAGGGACGGTAAACCTGCGGTGAAAAGAAGTGGGAGCGCACTCGAATCTTTGCCCTCTGGTGAGCTATCCCTCGTGGATTCCCACGAGCAAGCCCATACATGCTCAATGGCAGAACACCTTTGTTGGGTGATTCTAGTTATTTATCTTAAAGGCAGTAATTAGATGCCCCTAAGACGGCGGAAGCTAAGTGTGAAGAGACTTAATTTCTTAACTGTTCATCATACGTTTGTTTCGGAGACCCATCACTCCTTTTGTTGCCCATCTTCTGACTCTTTCCAAAAGGTTTGGGTCTCTTCTTAGCCGAGGGGGTGCAGTGATGTTGTGCACTACAAGGTGTGGTCTGACATGTGTTTTGTACAACCTTAGAAAGAGCTCAGAAGTGAGTGTGCCTAACTGCCTATGTGTAAAGTGTGTGACCACATATACCCTAGCTACATCTCCTGTGTAATTCACGCTTGTGTCCATTTTTCCGTTAGAACTAGACCCAAGTCATGCTCCGACGTTGTGCAGTACAAGCTTTCGTTGCACAGGATATAACTCACATTCTGCAGCCTACAGGTGCGTTATTTCACTTATTTGCACTTTTACCGTTGGCCACCACCTAGTCTTCTAGAAGCTTTAGGTCTGCTTGCAGCCTATCTGAGTCTTCCGAACACTTTATTGACCCCCCAAATCTTTAGGTAGTCGGCGAATAGAAGAGTCGGACAGTTTAGACGACATGGTACGTCGCTGATGAAAATCAAAAACATAAGTGGCTCTAGGATAGAGCCCAGCGGCACTCTTGATGACGAGCCGTGCAAAGGTGAACGGACTCGATTGACCTTAGTGCAAAATTTCCTTTCATCTAGGTACTCCTTCAACCATGACAGGAGCGGCTCACCTATATCTGCCTGACTTGCTTTGTGTAGGAGGTCATGGTGAACTGTATCAAATGCCTTCTCAAAGACTGGGAAGACCACATGGATGGGAATATTCGCATCCCACAATGATGTCCAATCATTCCAAGCCGACAGTCCATTTGTTACACTGAACCCTCCTCTCCTGAAAGCATGTTGTGCTTGATGGAGTTTACTAGTCCTGTCGAGGTGTTTCCCGACGTGATCATCAATTACAATTTCCAGCACTTTTGATACCACTGGGAGTGGGACTACTGGTCTTTAACTGGTGGCATTTTGCCTGTCCCCACTCTTGAAGATCGGGAAAAGGACGGCTGTTTTCCACTCTCTTGGCAGTTCTGTGGCGGACTTTAGACTCTGCTAACTTAATATCCCAAATTTGAATAGAAATAAAAATACCAAATTCATGAAGTTACTGAAAGAATATATTAAAATTCGTTGCTTGGGGTTATTACAAGGTTCAAATCCACAACTAACTTAGTAGACTCCAGAAGTATTGTGCGAGGGCTGCTGCAATCTTACTTCTCCAATATCAGCACTGCCAGAGGTCGACCAACGTAACGTGGGGAGAAGATACGGCATTCCTGTGAAATTTTGAAATAGAAAGTAGGTAATCAGAATTGGTCGATGGCAGTTGAGGTGGTGGAGAAGACGGAGAGATGTAGGCAGAACTATATTTCCATTCAAACCACGAGGTTGAGTACAAAGTACAGAGATTCTGGTTAAAACAAAGTACAATATGTTCACTTCTCACATATTAGTAAAAGTTGGATAAGTTTATTTTTGAGGACTCCACAGTTTCTCTGAATCCATCGAGTGTTGGAACAAGTCGCATGAGGGCTTACAGAGAGCTTCGGCACACTGTTTCAGAACAGATGGTCTGATGTCATCGCAGTTAATATATTAGTTTGACAGATTTTGAAACCTCATAACAGAATATTCATGCACCTTTCAAGCTGCGGACGAACAGCAAGGTTGAACTAAAAGCTCTCACCAAACTATTGCTTCATTTTTTACAGTGCATATGTATTTTTTGAAAACATGTACCTCAGAATCGTATCTTTCGCATTTATCTTAGAATTTTCCACACACAGGTTATATTTTAATAAAACAGAAGCAATGTTGAAATAATCCCTAGTCGGATGACTACACTACATGAGGCTTGTTGTTTTATGCGGTATCTTAAACACCAAGGAAGACGCGCTTTCCCGAAATTGTTTCGCCACCATTAGGGAAGTTACCGGGGTTTAGTTATTCTTCGTGGACGCACAGAGAGCTTATTACACATTGCTTGTGTGAAATTTCTTAATGGATTGCTGAATGATATATTCTTGTTCTTTTGCCGAATTTGCATGATCTTCCTGGCTGTTACATAAAAAGGATTACGGAATTTAAAAATTCGTCATTGTTTGAGTATTTATAGTCTAGTTTACTTCAATGGTGTCACATTCTGATTCCCCCATTTTACTAACAAAGTCATTTTTTGACCTCCGCGATGAGTGCCACAATTTAATAGATGAATATCAGGTGATTGTTATTTTTAAGATAACCGATTTATTCTTTATGTATAGAAGATAATTCGTGCGGAAAATCATTTTAAGGATGCACCTTTTCGTCCCTACTCAAAAGTATTAGCTCAATTCTACATAGAATATGAAGAATTAAAACGGTGGCTGTCTAAAGTCAGTGTGCTGTCATTTCGAAGACATCCAGCATGTCTTAGCCGTTCCGAGTCTTATGTCAGTCAGGTAAGTCTTGTAAAAAGCTGCTGATGGAAAGTTTAAAATGGTTAAAGGTTGCTTGCGCCCCATTATATGCTGTATTTTATCGTTTATGAGTCGTATATCAGACTGTTTTCTATCTCGGTTGTCTGGTGTTAAATGCCGTTTTGATTTCTCCAGGGAGTGGGATCATTATCTCACCTTTTTTCAGGGGTTTCATTCCATCTGTACCAGATTTACCTCACCATGGTCAGAAAATAAGTAACAGTTAACGCCAAATGATCAGGGTACAAATGATTGCTTACAAGAAACTCAGCTTTTGAGCATTTTCTGTAAGGAGTTTCTCTGACCAACCTGCTCAAATCGTTTCTTGATATGTTGTTTCATTTTGTGTTTTGACGCACATCAGGTATGTTGTTGCCTAAATTTTCGTCTTGAAAATCCGAAATAGCGGTGAGGAAATAATGCCAAAGTAACAACATTTCGCGCACTCATTGCATTTTCTCGTTGTCGTTCTTATTCCTATACTGTGTACTTTTTGCTCGCTTTGTTTGCATTGCTACTACACTATGCTTTTTCGCAATACATCCGTCTTTTTTATTTCTTTTCGATACACTTCGCGCTGTTCTTCACGATTATTGAGCTGCATTATTTTTGCATTACCTTTAGCCTCTCAGTAGATATCCTTACATGATCATTTAGAAATCGAGGTGGTAAATGTGTTTAACAGACGACCCACTAATGGCTTTCCTGTCGTTTTTACATAGCAATATGTGTACTTTAATGAAATCCGTCTAGGTAAAATAGGGAAGCGTGATGCACTGGTTAGAAGTCACTGGCTCGAAACATTGATTCATATTTCCTTGAGTGTGTGTGATTAGTATAGCATGGTTCAGGTTAACTGAACACTGAATAATTTTAATTCTCTTTAGATGTGTATTCAATGTTAGTGTCATCATCTTGATAGTTAAGTAATTTTTTACTTGGGAAGAGATTAAACACTATCATTTTTGCTTTTACGGTCCATGAATGTTTTATTTTCTGAAACGAATAGGTCAATATTCAGAATTTTGTCAACACTATTCATGATAGCACACAAAACAGAAGTAAATAGAAATACAATAGTGTTAGGTATGCCACTGTACTTGTCGACGCACTTAATCTACATATCGTTCTTTATGGTATTCATCAAGACATATCCACGGAATTGAAGTGTTCGCTGTGCAACTCACTGTTGAAGTGTGACTAATTACGATGAAGACCTAACCTTTAATTAATCACCTCCAGGTTCTTATACAACTGCATATGTTCGCAGTTAATTTTACAAACCATCTGTTACATTAAGAAGTCTGCGTGGGACAGCTGAGTCACATCGGGGATTTGGTGTATACCCGCTTCACTCAGAAATTTCATCTCATAGTTTTTCAAGATACATTGAATGACATTGGTTTGATAGTGTCTCTTTAATCTGGCTAGCAAGTATTAGTGGTTAATGTGAGTGATGTCCAACTACTCATTCAGATTAATTACTAATGTACATGTATGTCGGTGGTGCGGTGGTAGAACGCTTGCTAATCACGCTTGTGGTCCAGAGTTTGATACCCAACCGAAGCATACCTAAGCCTCACTTAGCCGCTAGTAAGCCTGTCAAAGGAGGATGGTTAGGCGCGAGACTAGCAACCCTATCCCGTAAAAATAAACACCACTGCTATTGAAAATTCAAAGCTTAAACTTGAAGCCCTGTGTTGCATTCGGAACGCAAAAGAATGGAACAAAAAGATGGAAGTAATATACCTATAACAATGCATCTACGCTTGCTTTCTCGATTGCTACTTATGGTATCGAATAGGTTACATGTTGTGATCTGAACAGTTATGAGTGACTAAAAAACAATGTAGACTATATTCTCCAACCAGTTGACTCTTGTTTTACGTTCTAAACTGTTTCGGTTTTATTCATTTTTATTTTATGCGATCACAGTCAATCAAACCTTCGAATTTCTTAGTATATTGCTTGCGGAATTGGCGTCAGCTTTCAGGAGCTCTTCATTTTCATGTCACATTTCACTATACAGTGTTCAAGTGACACAGTTTACATCTATTTTAGTGTTGAAATGAGGATGTCGGTTTCAGAAATAAGGAAGATAAGAGGAATATCTGCAATCATCCTGTAAAAGTCAATTTCCTTTTTGGTGTCGTGAACCAACTATGCGGTTGTCTTTAACATCTGAATTTATCTTCACCAACAGTTTTTACTTCGTGTAAATTTTGCACTTTAGTCATCAGCTTTAGCAGTCTAAGGTTACTTATTTTTCAAGCCGTGGTCCGTTATCATCGGACTTGAAACTGATACGAAAGTTAGTTTCAAAATTCGTATTGTACTGTTATTTTTGAAGAGATTAACAACAACAACGATTTTTATATTTTCAGAACTATTTTGGGCATATGAAAGGTCGAGATGTTGACTTCGATCGCTTGTGTTCTCTTGCTAATCAACTTTTGGATATATCTGGTCAAAGCTGCAAATCTCCAATCATTTATTCTTCTGATTCAGTTCAAGAATCCACTGAGTTTGATGTTTCCAGTCGGTTTAGAGAAATTCAAACGTTGTGGGATGATGTTACCAGTGCGGTGTACCCAATGAGCTTTCTTCACGACCCACCACGTACACTTAAAGGTTAGCTGTTTTGTAATGTTGTTAATACTATTAATTTCAGATATTCAGTTGGATCTAGAAGAAACTGAAGCTAAGTTGTGCTCCATTGATAGACGTAAGTCATATAAATATAAATATATATATATATATATATATATATATATACTGCTACTTTGTTCTAATGGCTTTATTTGATGACTTCTTTAATAGTAGCACAACAGGTGTTCATTTACTCTTATCACTATATTCGACCCAAGTCGGATTTTATTAACTGTTATATCAGTGTTGATATAAATTTCTACCAAAATGTAGAAAATGCCAGGATTTTTTAAAGTGTGAAAGATATTCGTATCTAGGAGTATTTCCATTTCTTATTCACACAACTTCTGGTAATCAGAAACTATTCATATGACACTTGTTTTCTTCGAATCCTGGGGCACAAGTTGTCATTGGTTTGGGGTCTTGGCTTTCTGACTCATGTAGCTAAGCTCTTCTCAGTTCATTGATATAGGTCTGATAATTTACATTCGTCCTTTCCTCTTTACTGTAGACGTTCTCGGATAAATGAAGGCTGTGGACAGGACTCATTTGAGTAAGCCTGTGGATATATGGGTCACATGAAAGCAATTACAAAATATAGTAAGGATGCCACTCACTGTCGACCAAATAAAGAGAATGCATACTGAAATCACCATGTTAGATATCACCCTGTTGGGCAACTTTATTGAAGCAACTATTTTTCGAATTCATACGGGGTAGATATAGACTAGAGTTTGAAACAGTGATAAGTAGGTGAATGAAATTTTAAGACATATACACAGATGTATAGATATTTGATTTAAAAAGCAGTCTGTATTTTCAAAAAACAAAGTGTAATATCAATTATACCTGAGTAGTTGGGGGGGGGGAGTTCAAAAGACAGTAAAACGAAAGGTTATTAGAGTACTGAACCAACTCACTTTTCATCTAACTTCCACTTTATAGTTTGTAAGAAGGCTAGAATACTTTTAAAAGAAACTGAAGTATCGTTGAGATGTTAGACTCATTGTTAGGCATGACGATTACTGCACTTCAGTGTTTGCATTTCTGATCTACGCCTGCGAGAGCTTGCGTCCACAAAGTAAAAACGTCTATTGTATGGATGCCTAGTGGTATTTGTTCAAGCAGAATTCACTGCATTAATTAGCAACTCAATGTATAGAATTGAAATATCAGGTGCTAAATGGGGGTCATCTTTCAGCGAATAAATGATTTCCCCTTGGAAAAGCTACTTCAGGTGGGGCTTCGATATGTATTGCAAACATCGTTTCAGAGGCTTCCACTTGACTGCTTGCTATTTGCTGGTGCTTTGACTGGTTTAAAGAAACAAAGAGGTGGGCACGTAAAATAGAAAGTAGTTGTATTTGTTAGCGCATCATAACCTTAAGTGACTATGCGGCTGAGTTGCCTGGAACATTATTAGCTACAGCTGAAAATCGGTAAAAATAGGTTTAGTTAGATGTTTGTATAGTCGGGCAGATTTAAATAATGCAACCGAACAAATAAAGAAAATACTACTAGTGAATAACTACCCACCCTATTTTGTTCAACAATATATGAAGACCCGCAGAAGAAATAAGATTAGTAATGGAAATGACAAAGATATCATAGAATACATAGCCTCTGTAATACTGCAGTATCAAGAAGGAACACCAGAGGTCTTATGTGGGATTCTCAATGGGACTGGAATTAGAGTAGCATTTAAACCAACCAACCAACCAACTGTCTCAGAGGTAAACTTTGTCGGCTTTGTCGGACCCGATAGATCCAATTAAGGAAAATAATATTTACCAAATGCCATGTAATAACTGTGTGGCCAATTAATTACACAGGTCAAACTAATAGGTCGGGGTCATTTAGATTATTGAAATTTAAAAATTTAAATAGACCCAAAATGATTGACTCTACTCAATTAAATGACCTAGAAAAGAACTATGCCATTACATCACAGAATTGGGGGTTGGGTGGGTGAAAGTATTAAGAAGTTATGTAGTTAAATGGAGAGGGAGAGATTAATCGCGGAATCTTTATTCATCGATTCAACACCACAGATGCATACAATCGAAATGATGCAATGCCTATACTGGAGATATGAGAGGTGCTAACAAAGAAGAAGACATATTATGAAAAAAAATATGTGACTAATTTGATATGATTATGAGCAATAATTTGTACTCGAAACATCATCCGTTTATTAATACTGCATCACTGCGTTATTTCAAATACACTTATTTAATATGGAATTACATTCTATCACAATGCCCACTTACACTAGTGAAAATCAAAATAATTGTCAGTTTCTTTCACTGTCAAAATTGATCAAACATAATGAGTGCCTCTTCAAATTTACTTGGTGAAAATGCTTCCCTATTCTTTTTTGTCGCTCTTAAACTATCGTTTTTCCTGTTTTTATTCTGATTTTACACTTTTCTGCACTATTCATACTGTAGTAGTTATAATTAGGTTCTTTTACGCTACTCATACGATAATTTCATCTCAGTTGGCATAAAAAAACAATTTCGTGCAATTATTTATTTTCATTTATTTGCCAATAGTGACTGACCGACTGACTGGTTTCAACATAGAACTTTGCACACATGTGCACCAGTTCGAGTTGACACACTCCCTACATGTAGATAAACAGAAACATGACGCGAAAAGAATAGTAATATGGAAGTAAAATAGAACTTTACTGCATCTGATAAATCACATAGACTGAATGCAATCTGCGCCCGCCATTCACAACGATGAGTTTGAGCCATATCACCAATTGTCTCCAGTCTTCATTGGTTTTCACCATCCCGAGGACCCCAACTAGTCGTCGCTCAAACTAACTGTTGTTGTGGATTTCATTGACTGATGAGGCCATGTTTTCGTTTGACCACCTCTGGCTAACTCTTTCCCAACCTCATCGATCCCACGTTAGCTAACATCGCCCGTCGGTCCAGGAAGGCGATGGTTAGGCTAGGTTAGACTAGGCTAGGTATGCGTAACACATGTCCTAACCATCTCAATCGGTGTAAATTCACACCCGTGTTAATTGATTTCCTCTCCCACCAACCTAGAACTCGACCGAAGCCTAACCTCAATATTGCTCACCTTATTAAACCACTTCACATGGGAGATAGAACACAGACACATGTGATCAAAGACAGCTAGCCGGCCTTTTCATGTCTTCCACTTTCAATGGCCATGTCTCGCTGACAGCCAGCCATAAAGGAGGATGGAGCAGACCGCTGAGCAGTACACATGTCCTTTGGTCGATAGCCAGCTGGATATCATGTCTGCGCCAATATTATTGGCAAGTGAATCTATTACGAGTAATGTTAAGTTTGACATTCAAGTCATTGTTCTTAGTACTTCATTGTCAGCGCGTTAGTTGTTCTCATTCACTGGATCTCATCTCTTTGCTAAATGGGAACGTGTTTGACATAATAAATATTATCTTAGTCCATTTTTCGGTAAATTGCAGGATATTTAGTATCGATTGGAATTGTTTGGTAATTACTTTTCAAACTGTCTACTCAACTAACAATTCGTATGCTTTTGTTGCTTTTAATTAGAAACTTGTCTGCTTAACGATATGATTAAATCGCCTAATGGAAAATGCGAGATAACTTCGGCGATGATGACATTAAAGGTCAGTTCATAGTACGTTACTATCTAATTGTCAGTTTTTTTAGTTTCTTTATGTTTACAGTTTGCAGTGGTTGTATGAAAAGGATCGATGTGGATTATTATTATTATTCCCTTAGGTTCCGAATGGAACATAGGGCTTCAACAGCACGCCATCATCTTATCCTCTTCTCTACATTGTTTGTTAGCTGACCTTACAATTCCCCATAGGCTTTCATATCCTCCTCGTACGATCTCCTCCATGTCAGCCTCTGACCTACACCCAACTCTCCGTTTCCATTCACGTTCCACTCAAAGATCTCCACTTGTTATATAACTGAACCGAACTAAATAAACTCCGTCGCTACTTTGTTATGTCTGCGCCTGTTAATATACTATAACGCTAATGAACTCGACTTCCGATTCATTGAGACATGCAAGTATCAAAAGACGAAGGCTAGCCTGTGGCTGTAAGATATTTTATTATACATCTATTAGAAAACAAAACATATTTTTGTATTTAATTTATCACAATACAGTTGGCTTACAACCTTGGGAATGGACTGTTCTTATTGGCTGGAAATGTCTATTCTGATTGGTTGGTGATCCAACAAAGACCAAGGTGAGACAAAAGACGATGAATTGATCACACACTGAATCACAATATGCGTGAGAAATGATAGATCAACATAGTAACTCCATCACAAGATAAATCACACGATTCGTGAGAAAGGATGATATACTATTTTATGCTGGGTCCTGTCACCACTCCCCAGTGTGTCAGGTTTTTGGTTAGGGTTTCGTTCCCAGACTTCCTTGTTGCTAATCCTTTTTGGCCATCTGACCTTCAGTATCGAGGCAGCTGTTGATAAAAGTTTGAAGCCTGTTCGAAATGCTTCCGGCGACACGTCAAGTCTGTGAGCCATATAGAAGCATTAGTATTGGAAATTCTAATCTTGTTCTTTAGGCTGATTGCAGAAGATTTTCTCACCAATTTCAGATAATCGAACGTCTCTCTTGCCTTTCCCATCCCCTGGCTTTGAAATCTTCATCCCTGCTGTGTGTAGTTGAAACGATACCACCTAGATATAAATGAAAGTAGTGACTTCCTTCAAATTTCTACCGTTGATAGTGATTGGCGCGTGTTGTTGTTGGTGACCAGGTATCTTCATCACCACTGTCTCCTCTATGTTCCCTATAAGTCCTGTCTTCACTACTTCTTTCAACTTGTTGGTTCTCGCCTTTGGATCTTTGAGTTTGTGTGACATTCAGCATAAACTGTGCGCGAAGTGCGAGTTTTCTCTTATCGGTTCAACATGTTTCTATCTTCCCGCTGCTCATGGCCTGCGGCGTGATCCAGTTCACTGCAATCAATTCGTGTGGTTAAATGAGTTAAATATCGATCGATAATCTAGATAACTGAGTTCGATGAATGCGGTTGAAAATATCTAGCTAAAATAGCCTGTATTTAATAGCTAAACGCGGGTAGTAAACAAATCGCCGCTTTATCTTGCTTCGCCTCTCTCTCTCTCTTAAGCTGATACAAATATCCACAAACCCACGTTACTGATATCAGGAAGTTTTTTGGTTCGATCTCGTGAACTTTCTAATTATAGGATAAAATTGAGTTCTGCAGCAGAGATGTCTCTGCTCCATTGAATTCCTGGTAAACATTTGTCCGACTGAATGTATCTGTAAGGTTTGGAATTTTTGTAATCTTCGCTTCTTGACTCTGCTAACTGTAACTCCAACAAAGTAGAGAATGCGTTTTACCAAAAACTCTAGTTTTCTGTTAAAGTAAATACTCTTAGATATATTCATCTTAGCTAATTTTAGTATTCAAGTGAGGAAGCTGAGCTGGTCCAAAAAGTATATTTAGGCGTGCCTGTGAAGTCCCCTAGTGAAGAGCCGACAACAACGATTATCTCTTGGGATTTTCTCCAGGTAACCTATTTGTTTGGATAAAGCAAGAACGAAAGTGGTTTGTGCAGAATAATATGGTACCATCATTTATTTCGTAGGCTTCTCATCAGCTGCTTACAGCCTAAATACATAATGAGGTTTGCGTACAGAAAAGTTTTAACATACTTGCAAATTTTTTACATGTTGCCAGTTGACTAAAAGTTCCACAGTAAGTGAACAGTGCTCAGAAAATTGCGCTTATATAGTTTTTACACATGCAGTTCAAGTTTAAACAAAATAGATGTATGCATACAATGGTAAAGGAGTTACGTAATAAAGACGAAATATGAGTTAGATACAGAGTGACTAATAAATTAGGTAACAATGTACTGAGTTCAACTCAAATCATAGAAACAAGAGACAAGCAAAATTACAGAATATAAAGGGGGTGAGGTTAAAGACAAAGATTACGTAATCAGATGAGAGAATAAAGACATTTAGTTACCAGGGCAAAGAGAGATTAATAACTGCTTCTTTCTGAACACATAAATCTGGTTTCAAGCGTTTGATAGAGATTGCTTCGGCAAACTTGAGGAGAATGGAACTCCTTTGTCTATTGATAATTATAAAGGATTTCTCGATTTCTACCTCATGACCCGTGTCGAGAAGATGTCTAGTGATAGCGCTGCTATAAGAGTTTGTTCCCTTGAGACGTAGGCTTCTTGGCACATGTTCAGAAAATCGGAGGTGTGCCCTTCTTTCTGTTCTCCCAATGTAACTGCTCCCGCAGATACACGTAAATTTGTATACACAGTTGGAGTTAACATGAGAAGGGTATCTATCGACTTTTGACTGCACCAAAGAGCATGTTGTTCGATGGACGGGAACCAACTTAGCTGCAGGATAGGCTCTGGCTAGTGATGTTCTCAGTCTTCTGTTGACCATTTCTGCAATGTTTTCACCTGTAATTTTGCTTGTCTCTTGTTTCTATGATTTGAGTTGAACTCAGTACATTGTTACCTAATTTATTAGTCACTCTGTATCTAACTCATATTTCGTCTTTATTACGTAACTCCTTTACCATTGTATGCATACATCTATTTTGTTTAAACTTGAACTGCATGTGTAAAAACTATATAAGCGCAATTTTCTGAGCACTGTTCACTTACTGTGGAACTTTTAGTCAACTGGCAACATGTAAAAAATTTGCAAGTATGTTAAAACTTTTCTGTACGCAAACCTCATTATGTATTTAGGCTGTAAGCAGCTGATGAGAAGACTACGAAATAAATGATGGTACCATATTATTCTGCACAAACCACTTTCGTTCTTGCTTTATTCAAATTCATCAAGGGGAATAAATGCATGAAGTTTCTCAAAAACCTATTTGTTCTTAGAGAGCATTAATTTTAAACACATAGAGAAATATTGCCCCGATTGGCGAGCGCAGAAATCAAGTCATTGATGGAAACATATATAACATCTGACTATAAGTTATCGGTGGAGAGGGTCAGTGACAGATAACCGTAACTTTTGGAATATCACATGATATTAGATGGTTGGAGGCAATTGGCAGTAAGCCTTGGACCTAGGTTTCGTGCTAGTTGGCACTCTTCAGCAAGGCGTATCTGCAACCTTGAAGGAACCCATGTCCCTTCTGAGATTCGAACCCGCGTCACCCAGTGCTGCAGTCAGAGACGTTACCACTGAGCTATTCGGGCTCGCGATTGACCTCCTGTAGGACTGTAGTGGATATTTTGATTTGACACTAGTAACTAGTGTGATGCGTCTAGTCCTCTCTTTGGTGCAGACTGAATTCTATCAGTCAGGTTGTAATGTGGCCACCATTCTAGGTAGCTCGCCATCACGGTGTCCAAGGCTTCCTGCCAATTGCCTCCAGCCATCTAATATCATCACAAAGAATGTACACCGTGATGGCGAGCTACCTAGAGTGGTGGCCACATTACAACCTGACTGATAGAATTCAGTCTGCACCAAAGAGAGGACTAGACGCATCACACTAGTTACTAGTGTCAAATCAAAATACTGCTGGATTGTTGCAGTTGTATTTCTTTAGAACTTATATTGTAACGATAGAAGACAAGGGCCAGGCAACAGATCCTTTATTGAGGGAATCCACAGACATTTGTATGTTTTTATGTACACTATTATACGTTATCATTAGCAGAGAAACAGCGTCTTCTGATTGGCTGTTTTCTCGCTGGAAGTTATTCTGTCATGTCTGTGTGGCCGTTTCCTTGAAGGTCAAACCATATATCTGCGAGTCGTATCCGCCCACGCAAAGTCTGCTGTGATTGGCTGTTGAGTTCCTCAAGGTTAGGGTTTTTTCTCATGACCAAGATTTGGGACATAAACATTGACGTAAATTGGTGTCTACCAACTTTAGCTAGCAGACAGCTCTCACCACAATAGAATTCCATATTTTCCTTCGTCTCTGTGTGCATTTTAATTACAACTCATTCATTAAATTATTCACCTTTAATAATACGCTTATTCAACTCCTCTTATACACTGACTAATATTGACAACAACAACTCATCACTTCTGTTCATACTCTCTTTCGTGAAAAGAAGATTGTATATAAATGCGATTGTACAGCTAAAGAAGAAAATGAATTCACCGAGAAGAGTCTGTTCGCGCTGAACTTCTTACTTTGTTCATTTTATTGCTTACTCTCTCTCTCTTTTTGTCATGCATTTTCTCTTGTATTGTCATTATTATGTTTCTTTCCTATATATTTATGTATGCTTACTGAAGTATGAGAACTTGGACTGATGCACTTTTGTGCAAAGTTTTACTTTAATAATTCAGCCAATCAATTGCATGCACCTTTTTTTTCTTTACTCAAAACATTACATTATAATTTGACTATATGTTGTCGTATGTAGGAGTGGGAGGGATGATCAGTAAGAGTGTAAAAGAAATCAGTGATATTTCGTGGTTGAAAACTGCAAATGACAGTAATGTTCCTTTTTCTTTCTCGAAATAGGAACATTATTCTGGACCACATTGACTCGTAGCTTAAAGCTAGGCAGGAGTGAAATAGTGGTTCAGCGTGTTGACCACTTCACTTATTTGGGGAGTTGCATCAGCCACAACGGGTTGATCGCTGACGAAATCTCATCACGGATACCCGAAGGCTCGTTTCGCATATGCCAGTTTATACTTTCTCTGGTGTAGACGTGATATCCAGCTGTCTATCGACCAAAGGACATGCGTACTGCTCAGCAGTCCACTCCGTCCTCCTTTATGGCTGGCTGTCAGCGAGACATGGCCATTGAAAGTGGAAGACATGGAAAGGCCGGCTAGCTGTCTTTGATCATAAGTGTCCGCGTTCTCTCCCGTGTGAAGTGGTATAATAGGATGAACAATGTTGAGGTTGGGTGTTGGTCGAGTTCTAGGTTGGTGGGAGGAGAAATCAGTCGACAAGGTTGTGAAGTTACACCGATTGAAATGGTTATGACATGTGTTTCGCATACCTAGCCTAGTCTAGCCTAGCCTGGCCATCACCTTCCTCGACCGACTGGCAATGTTATCTGAAATGGGATTTATCAGGTTGGAAAAGAGTTAGCTAGTGGTAGTCAAACCGAAACATGGCTTCTTCAGTCAATGAAATCCACAATAACAGTTAGTTTGAGCGACGACTAGTTGGTGTCCTCGGGATGGTGAAAACTAATGAAGACTGGAGACAATTGGTGATATAGCTCAAACTCATCATTGTGAATGGCGGGCGCAGATGCATTCAGTGTATGTGATTTATCAGATGCAGTGAAATTCTATTTTTCTTCTATATTACTATTCTTTTCTCATCATGTTTCTGTTTATCTACATATAGTCAGAGTGGCAGCTCGAACTGGTGCACATGTGTGCAAAGTTCTATGTTGAAACCAGTCAGTCACTCAGTTTCTTTGTCATCAAACTTGTGGTCTAATAAGGTATATGTTTGTCCATCTTCTCTTCACAATGGTCTCATCTTGTCTTGCTCTACTCACTGAGTGACCTATTCACTCGGTTCAATACAGTGTACTGAAGGTCTACTGTCATCAGCTGTCTGAATTTCGAAGATTTTAAGCAGCTTATAACAACCAAGGGATTCAATAGCGTTCGTTCCATTTTATCGAGACTGTTCTTGTGGTTCGAAACATGCGATTTTTCAATTATGGTTCATGAATATATTGCACTAGATGTCTTCAAATCAAATCAGTAGTTGCTGACTAATTTCTGGAAATCCTTATGCATTTATTCGTAAACCTTAGTGATGAGCATTAACCAAATCGCCTTGAATGCCTATATCTCAAAAGATATTTGAGCATGTTTCTTTTTGTCTCATTCTTTTACATTTTTTAGAGGAACATGACGCTTCAAACTTGAGCTTTGTGGCGTTTCAGTAGCGCTAGTGGTTTTTCACGAGGTGGAGTAGTAGCTAGCCACACACACACACACCCATCGCTTCCTTCTTACCGGTCTTACGACTAGCTAAGTGAGCTTTATGTGTGTGCGTTGGCTGGTAATCGAACCTTGGAGTATCTGCGTGGTTGGTGAGTACTCTACCACTGATGTAACATTTTTCAAATCGTCACTTTGAAGAATTATAGATAACTACCTCATATTACTAGGTTTGAATATCAAAAACGTGACATAGACTTGTTATCTTTAGTTTTTATTTATTCTCTTCTCAATTGGTTCTATTTATTTATATTTATCTTCTGACGATTACGCTTGTATAGGTTGAACATGTATACCTGAAAAGAGCTGTATCAACTCTTCTTGCCGCTGGAGTTTTACTTTCGCAACTTCACGTATCCTGTGTTGAACTTGGGTTTTGTTCGTTTTCAGATGAAGTATCCAATTGTCCCATTATTAGACTTACCGAAATTAAAGATGAACTGCTGCGTAAAAGTTCATCCCTTTGGATTAGGCATGTTGAACTTCGTGAATTCTGGAAGTGTCGATCGAAAATTCGAAGCTCTTTTGAAAGCGTAAGTCTTTTTTTGTAGTGGGATTTTATTTTCAACTAATTGCATTTGTCAAAGTCTCTTAGGAATTTTGGTCCTATGAACATAGTTCAAAATAGTTTTTCTAGGAAGTATATGAATTACAGTAGGTACCAAATAAAGACGCTGGCCGGTACTATGCATCCACTTGTAAAACGCTGAACGAGGAACAATATCCAACCTGGCTAGCAAAGGGAGAACGCAAGTGCGTGTATATATTTCGGTAACAGAACATCTGGTGAAATCAGAACATCCAGCTCCACTTGGATCGTCCTTCAAATCTATATACTATATCAGATCAAACCTCTCAAAGGGATGAAGTCAAAGCATCTAAGCATAGCTGAGGCAGCAGCGATCCAAAAGTTCAATCCCACGCTATGTGTCCAAAAGAAATACGTCCAACTATGGTGTCTACCCATGGATGGTCATCATAAAAAGTCAATCCTCTGAAAAGTGATTATCCTAATGCCTTTCTTAACAAATCTTCTGAGTAATCATGATCCTAGAACGTTTTTTTATCCGATCTTCCTGTTGATGATCACATTTCAATCCTTATTTGCAATTTTATTGATTTGACCCTTGACTGGAAATAGTCCTGGGACTTTCTCACCCAATTTACTATAAATACATGGATGTACAGCCAGCCTAGTTGATATGACTTCTTCGAAAAGAAAATTTTATTTGCTGCAATCGTCATTTTTATATCTCCTATGATATTAGCATTCTGAATTGGTTTTTTCTTTTTTTTAACCTGATATGAAATACAGTGATATAGTTGTTTTACTGTATGGCATCTCAATAACCCAGTGCATACCTCACATTCATAATATCATAGTGTGTCAAATCAGATTAGCTGAGATCTAACGTATATCAAGGTTACACTGTACCTGAAAAGGATTCAGTTTCACTACATAATCTCCAAAATTACCTGAATAGTCACTATACTCAAACCATGGGAAGTTTTTAATGAAGTTTGCATTTAAGTGATGGAATATAGAGTAGTCCTTTCATTGAAATGAACGACTTTTTGCACAAAATCTCCCTTCATTAGATTAGTTGAAAGAACAGAATATGCATGTCAGTCTTAGCCATCAAAAGGCATTAGCTAAGCTTACCGTGAAGAATTATGATCCAGTGTTTAGAAGTACCTTGGGTAAAACGAATAACCTATTGCTCAGTATCAACAACTGAAAGTGGAAGACATGAAAAGGCCGGCTGGCTGTCTTTGATCATAGGTGTCTGTGTTCTATCTCCGGTGTGAAGTGGTTTAATAAGGTGAGGAATATTGAGGTTAGGCTGCAGTCGAGTTCTAGGTTGGTGGGAGAAGAAATCAATCAACAAGGGTGTGAATTTACACCGATTGAGATGGTTGTGACATATGTTACGCATACCTAGCCCTATTCTAGCCTATCCATCGCCTTCCTCGACCGACGGTTGGTGTTATCTGACATGGGATCGATGAGGTTGGAAAGGAGTTAGCTAGTGGTGATCAAACTAAAACGTGGTCTCATCAGTCAATGAAATCCACAAAAGTTAGTTTAAGCCAGCTGGTCATGTAGGGAGGTGTAGACTTCCTGGTTGGTGTCCAATGGCTGGAGACAATTGGTGAATTGGCGCAGATGCATCCACTTCCTGTGACTTATTACATCCAATAAAACTATCTTGTTCTTCCATATCACTATTCTTTTGCCTCACATTTTTACTTATTATCTCTGTCTGTGTGTGTTTGTCTTTTGAATCTCTCTATACTCTCTTCTCTCGCTTTGTGTCCTACATAGAGGGAGTGTGCTAACTTGAACTGCTGTACATCTGTGTGAAGTTCTATGTTGAAACCAGTCAGTCAGTTTGTCAATGTACAATTTTCATACCAAATACAATCATGTAGCCGTATCCTTCTAAGCCAATTTAGCAAATATATAGCATCTAAAGGCATTCTTACTTTCAGAATTTTTAAAATTTTTGTGCGTTCAAGTTTTTGTAGCAATTTGGTTAAGTTTTGGGGGTGGAGTTGCTAGCACCACACCCCAACCCTCCTTCTTTATCCGGGCTTCTGACCGGCTAGAAAACTAGTGACCTAGTAATCTAATGCGTCAGACAGTGGGAAACGAGAAGACAGGGATATCCTGGACCGACGTGAAGAACCTAGAAAACCTGGATTTTGCGCGTGGATGATTTATGTTTGATGTCACACAAAATCGAAGACTTACAAGCGAAAACCGACAAACTGGTCGAAGAAGCAGCAAAGACAGGACTCTAGGTGAACATAGACAAGACGGAGGTTATGAAACTAACCAACCAACAACAATGACAGCAGCATCCAGTGCCAATCATCATCAACGGGAGGGATTTGAAAGAGGTTACTTCATTCACTTATCTAGGGAGCATTGTCTCAACCACAGGAGGAACGGACGAGGATGTCAAATCGAGAATCGGGAAGGCGAGAAACACATTCATCAACCTGAAACCAATCTGGAAATCTTCATCACTCAGCATCAACAACAAAGTTCGGATTTTCAATACAAACGTCAAGTCAGTTCTTCTATACGGATCAGAAACTTGGCCAGTGTGTCACAAAGAATATTTCCAACAGCCTGTTGCAGACCTTTATCAACAGCTGTCTTCGTTCTATACTGAAGATCAGATGGCCGGAAAGAATCACAAATAAGAAGCTATGGCAACAAACAAAACAAGAGCCAATCGCTCAACAAATATGCAGGAGCAAGTCGAGATGGATTGGACACTCGTTGAGGAGGCCACTGGGTGACATCGCGCGTCAGGCCATAGCTCGAGTGGTACCGGAAAGGGAAGCGGCGAGTGGGACGTCCAAGGGTGACATGGAGGAGATCGTGTGAAGAGGAGTTGAAACAGCATGGACTAACATGGCTGGAGGTGGAGAGTACAGCAGAAGATAGAAGCAAGTGGAGACGTACAGTTGAAGCCCTATGTTCCACTAGGAACCCAAGGGAACAATAATAATAATAAAGGCATTTGTAATTAGAGAATGGCTTTTTCTACAGAAAATTCGATGAAATATACAGCTTGCTTAATATTTACAAATGCGTAGCTTCGTAGGGTTCTTGTTTTGTTCTTCGCTTAGCTGCTGCGATATATGTATGGTGGTTATTTGGCGATTGGTGGCTAGAAGTGGAACTCTAAACTTACGTCTTATCCTGTTTGACGTTTGTCAGCTAGATATGGTAAAACTAGGCAGTTTTTCTTTATTTGGAAGGAAAAGCACCATAATCTAGCCATATTACGACCTCCTGCATGTCACCCTTCGACATAGAAAGAATCTAAGTAACAAGACACGTTAACTACTTGTATAATTACTGTTGTTGACCATTATTCACTAATGAATACACTAACCTTTGTTTTATTATAGGGATTATCTCGTTCTAGTTTGAGTTTTGGAAATTTTCGCTCACTAATTGGATTGGATCATGTAACGGCAAATAATCTTCTATTCCCATCCTCGTCAGTGGAAGAGTCCACTCCAAATGGTCTGTATCCACCAAAACCGTTAGCAGATGTCTATCATTCTGTTTCCTATCCAAAATTAGACTCAAAGTTATGGAAAACGCTTACAGAACATGTGAGTTGTTTGTATTATAAGTGGAATTCATATTTGCCGATTTCAAAGATGGCAGCATAACTGTGTGTGTGTATGTATATCTTATATTATTATTATTACTATTACTATTTTACTCCTTAGCGTTCCGAGTGGAACAAAGGGCTTCAAGTTTAAGGTTTAAAGTTTCAGTAGCAGTAGCAGTGGTTGCACTTTTGCTAGGTGGGGTTGCCAGTTCAACGCTCAACCTTCCAAATTCACCAGGCTTTCTACCGGCTTAGCGAGGTTTAGGAGTGCGTCGGCAGCCAGGGATCGAAACCTGGACCACGTAACAGGCGTGGTTGGCGAGCATTCTACCGCTGCACACCACCGACGCGTACAGTATTCCTTGCGTTAACCACTGTTCAATACTAGTTGGGAAAGCTACAATACAAAATGAAGGTTTATTAAAGTTTATGTTATTATTATTGTTTCCTTTAATTCCTACAGGAACATAGGGCTTCAGCCGTGCGTCTCCATTGCGTTCGGTTCTCTGCTAGAGTCTTCACCTGGCTCCAAGTCTGCCCACACGTTTTCATCTCCTCTTCACATCACCTCCTCCAAGTCACCCTTGCATTGACGACCAACTCGCTGCTTCCCTTTCGGGTTCCACTCGAGCAATGGCTTGTCTAGTGATGTCACTTGATGGTTTCCTTAGAGTATGGCCAATCCATCTCCATTTCTTCCTGCCTATTTTTTGCACAATCGGTTCCCGGTTGGTTCGCTCATTGCCAGAGATCCCTGTTGCTGATCTTTTCTGGCTGACCATCTGATCTTGAGTATTGAGCGAAGACAACTGTTCATGAAGGTCTGTAGTTTGTTTGAGATGCTCTTTATGACGCGCAGTGCAAGTCTCTGATCCGTATAGTAGCAGTGACTGACTTCACATTGGAGTTGAAAATCCGGATCTTATTCTCTTTTTCATGCTGAGTGCTGTTGACCTCCACACAGATTTGAGAGTAGTGAAAGCTTGTCTTGCATTTCCGATTCTTGCTTTGATATCCTCGTCAGTTCCGCCTGTAGTTGAAACGATGCTTCCCAGGTAGGTAAAAGAAGTTGTTTCTTTCAGGTCCCTCCCATTTATGCTATATGTTATAGTTATCGTCCCCTTGTGTTCCGAGTGGAACATAGAGGGCTTCAACTGTACGTCTCCACTTTATCCTATTTCCTACGGTCCTCTTTTTAGCTGCTGACTTCACGGTTGCGCCAGTTTATGCAACCGCATTTTCAGTTTTACCGTCAATATTCAAGTTCTCTAATCGTAAGAGTTTTTAAACTGGTATCCTGCAATCAATAAATTACTATGTATGATGAATCCGCACGACTGGTTTACTCTATAAGTTAGAGATTAAGGCAGCATGAAGTCCTATTTATTTAAAGAATTATAATCAGACAGTATAACATATGACAATGACGAATTATGCAAACATGTGTATATGTGCTTAAATACATATATATGTGAAACGAACGTTATTGTTAGCTCGATGGAAAGAAAAAGTTAGGTATTGTATAGACCAAAACTTCCGTTTGGCACACTATATATATATATATATCCAAACGAAACTAAGACAGACACATTTCAACCGATATTTGGGAATAGATTTTAAAGACATGAGAAATTCACGTTATGAATTTTGTGTTATTTATAATTGTGGATGCGTACTTTCTTGCGATCTTTCCTGGTCTTCCCACATCATGTTAGTTTCTAAAATGATATTCCGTTTAACGTTCGTTCTACTTAAGAAAGTCAAGACACTGTGGTATCACATAGTTAATTTGTTAATTCATGTATACTACTTATTCGTCTTTATTCCAATCCCCCCCCCCGCCACCCATCCCACCACCTTAATCTTACCTGGACTACTTAAGAAAAAAAATGCGAAGGGCGCTAAAAGCTATCATCGTTAGGGTGAGTGAACTGTCGCTAAACTAACTTGTTAATACCGTCTTAGATAGAGATACACATTGACTCATGCAATCAGTTAGCTTGGCGAATATTATCTTGTGGGAAGCTTAACACCCTCTCTATATATATTATATTATTTTTTTAATATTTTGATTACAGCTTGATTCCACACCGTATTTTCAGTGCAAGTATGGAATTTTCAGCATGGATATCGGTAGCCCAAATTTTGCAGGCCGACCATTGATATCGGGTGTGCGTCGGCAGGGGATCGAACCCCGGACCATGTGCATGGTCGGCGAGAGTCCTAACCACTGTGCCACCGACACAACTCTCTCCTAACATTTGATCAGGTAGAACTAGAAGCAACTATAGGAGGAGGAGGACTATAGAAGTATAAAAACTCTACAATATACCTTATTTGACAGGCACACACATTTTATGTGATGAGAAAAGTATGTTAGGCATCAGACACTGCTGACTTTTACTGGGAAACACTAAATAAACGGAACCTTTTATTCTCCCTTTCATTATTATTATATTATTGTTTATATTCTCGTTTTAATTTTAATTTCATGCATTGTTATTTAACTGTCATCAATACAAATGCCCTGTTTAATTGTTTCCTCCTGTATTGATCTTCGACATTACTGTCCTTTTTGCCTTATATCTCTCTGTTTACTCTCTCTGTTTTGCGTTTCTTTTTACCTTCTTCTCTTGCCTTGTGTACTAAGGGAAGTGTGGCGACTCGAACTGCTGTACATTGGTGCAAAGATCTATGTTGAAACCAGTCAGTCAGTCAGGATTGTTTTTTATTCCTTTATGTTTCCAGTGGAACATAGCGCTCAAGCTGGAGGCTTGAAGTTTCGGTAGCAGTGGTGTTCATTTTTACGTGATGGGATTGCTAGCCAGCTTCATGCCCAACCTTCCCTCTTTACCAGTCTTATTACTGGCTTAGTGAGGTAAAGGAGTGCGTCGGCGGCCGGGGATCGAACCTTGAAACACATGAGGCGTGGTTGGTGAGAATTCTACCGTTGTGCCACCGACGCACTCTGTATTATGTAAAGAGAAAATTAAATGCAATGTCGTACTATATGCTGAAAATCTCATATTCGTATCAAAAGTATTGTTTGGAATAAAGCTACTATTATTATTATTAATTTAAATACTTATACAATATGTGGCGGTAAGTTACTAGAGTAAAAATTCACAGTGGATAAATGATAAAAATAATACTGGGTGACTAATATGTCTGCGCTCATGTATCAATTATAAATTCAAAATTACTATAATGCAGTAAATTTCTGTCTGAATGCAAATCTACAATCCGATTTATCTCATAGCGTGGCAGCCTCGGCATGTGACCACACAACTTGAGGTTTAACTACGTGTTTCTTTAACTGCAGCAACTTTAACATACGCTTTTGAAGCTGGAGAGCTAACGCGGCTACTGGCACCAGATTTACCCTCCAATTGGTCCGTGTCGAAGGATTTAAATTGTGCTCATTCGAATTACGCAGCCTTAATTGAGTCGCGTATTCGTATTTTTCGTCATTACCTTCCCATGATGGGAGTGGGTAATTTTCGCGTCCGCTGCCGACCTTGGATGTGGTAGCTATTTCTCAGGCTCCCTCTCCGGAATCAAACGCTGATTCCTCATTACCTGTTATTATCATGGTAGGCAGATCACCTACCAACAAATGGATAGGGCAGACATATTTGAAATATCTGTCGCCGACACAAGGCCGACTGTGATCATTAGAGCTACCCATAATCATCACAGAATTCAACGGAGAGCCGCAACTGCCTCCGGTTGGTTTTGTTCTAATAAATACATCCGTTTTCTTGCGGATCAGGGTATAATTGCATGTATTAGCTCTAGAATTACTACAGTTATCCATGTAGTATAAGAAACCATAAGGGATTTAATGAACCATTCGCGGTTTCAGCGTTTTAAGGTATGTACTTAGACATGCATCGCTTAATCTCTGAAACAAGCATATGACCACTGGCAAGGTCAACCAGTTTACTCACACAACGATACACCTATTGACTGGGCATTGATTTTCAGGAGAACCGAACACTCTTATCCCTGCCTTTTGCGAGACGAATCCGGCATGCATTATCATCCACTCGAGAGCCCTCTCCCTCGATGGACCATTCGCACCATTAGTACACATAATAATGCATAGGTAAGCATAGCTACACCGACCAACGATCTCGTCAATCAGTTTTGCACTGCACACACAGGTACAATAGAGACCATCTTACATACAAGACTACCCAAACAGTTTATTATAGGCAAGAGTAGCATGCATGGCGACGCTATAGCGATACTGGCCCCATAAAGCGTGACAGCCTCACTGAGGCTCGTTGAATCTAAGCACATTTATTTAGCGTTTCCATTTTATATGAGATTTCAGGACATCAACACGTCATCAAACGTGTTGACAGATTTATGTGTGCCTTTGTCCTAAAGATTTTTTTGAATCATCAATTCAGAGTGTCTGTGTTATGCCACATTTATGCAAACAATCATTTTTCATAGCGTACGAAGTGTTTGTTACTCATTTAGTAATTTCGAACAAATTCCAGATCATGGTAGCTCTGTGCCAATTCATGTGATTTACTTACTTATTTCTTTATTTATTGATATCGATTCGATACAAGGATCAGCAGTCAGTTTTTGTTCCACTATTATTTATATTAATGTGAATAACCATAGTACTTTATGCTATTGTTTGGACCATACTTAAAATACTCACTGAAATTGACTTGAAGCACAAAGAATACACTCATTCGTAGTACATCAATTAACTCTACTATTAGGCGTGATTTAGAAACAACTTCACTACTACGGGGTGCCACCAACAATTATACACCTCATTCAACAGTTGTACAGTAATACTGCATGCCAAGTAATTAACAAAGGAAAACGCACGAAATCCTTCGAAGTGAAAACACGAGTAAGACAAGTTGGCTGCCTAATATCTCCAATGATTTTCCTGATTGCGGTAGACTTGGATAATGCGACAAGCAGGCATAAAATGAACCCACTCAAAAAACTTGGACGACCTTAACATCACCGATGATATATGTCTGATTTCCCACAAACTGGAAGGTATGCAAGTGAAAAGCAAAAAGTTGGTAGAAGAAGCATCAAATATAGGGCTTCAGGTGAACATAGCGAAAACAGAGGTGATGAGTATTCCTGGCGAACAGCAGACAGCAATCAACATGAATGGGAGAAATCTGAAAGAAGTAACCTCCTCTACCTACCGACCTGGGAAGCATCGTTTCAACTACAGGTGGCAGAACTAGTGAGGATATCAAAGCGAGGATCGGGAAAGCAAGGCAAGCTTTCATTACTGTCAAGTCTGTGTGCAGGTCAACAGCACTCCTCAGCATGAAAAATAGGATCCGGATTTTCAACTCCAATGTGAATCCAGTGCTAATATACGAACCAGAGACTTGGCTCCGCGCCGCGTCACGAAGGGCACTTCGAACAAACTACAGACCTTCAACAGCTGTCTTCAGTGAATACTTAAGATCAGATGGCCGGCCAGGAAACATCAGCAACAGGGATCTCAGGCAATGAATGAAGCAACCGAGAATCGATTGTGCAGCAAATATACAGGAAGAAATGGAGGTAGATTGGCCATGCTCTGAGAGAACAAATCACCAAATAACATCACACGACAGGCCATCGCTCGAGTGGAACCCCAATGGGAAGCGGCGAGTTGGTCGTCAGTGTGAGGGTGACATGGAGGAGGTGATGTGAAGAGGAAATGAAGGCATGTTGGTAGGCGTGGAGCCAGGTGCAAACGTAGGCGGAGAACCGAACGCAATGGGGACGTGCGGCTGAAGCCCTATGTCCCTCTAGGAACTAAAGGAAACAATAATAATTAGTAGTAATAATAATTACGCGTAAATAAGTAAACTGTGGTGTAGTATATACTAGATAAGCATACTTATAAAGTACATTCAAATGAACATGTGTTACTTTTGGAAGTGAAAATGCAATTCAAACAAGCAAGTAGTCTGAATCATTTTCGCTATTGATTCCAGTCCCAATGCATATTTCATAGCGTCCCAATTTCTTAATTTTTATGATCTCTCCTATTCTAATCAGGGGAGTGGTAATGCACCAATAGACACTAATCCAATGCAACTACGCTTCATATCCCTGCTCTCGATGTTATGAGCCAATTACTTCCCCATTATTATTTGCTTGTATGCCTTCTTTCTATATGAAATTGTTGCCAGATACAGTTGCTGCTTCAATTTCACCTACAGGCTTTCTGATCTTTATATGAGCTCTGACTTTTTAAGTGTAAAAGCCTGAGTCGGGTTGTTATGCTTACTGTCAACCAAAAGAGATCGATGTGTGTCATTGAAGTTGCAATGAAGTTACAGAAACTCACTTGTGACAAGGGGCGCTCTTCTAAGCGAAAGAGACTTTACTCGTCATATACATTGTGTCATTTAGTTTCCACAGTTGTTTGTCTATATGTTTTGCAGGGCAGACAACTAGCCTTCAGTCTAGTTCGGTTTAATATTTTTACTGTAACAGCAGCTGGGTTCATGTGATAACAAATACTCCTGGTTGACGTCATTAAATATTATTGCTGCTTAGTTGACAAACCTGAAGAAACCCTCCTACGTGGCTGCGGCACGATTAGCGAAATCAACTTCCGCCTCATTCCTTTCACAACTAAACGTCAAAATATATCTTGATCCATGCATGGGGTCATAGGCTGTTTTCACGATTAAAAGTATAAAACGTGTTTTATATCGGTGGGCCTGTTTGTATTTTCAAGCCTGCAACCATGATCAGTTTTTAAGTTTGGAATCTCAGTTGTTCGATCTCATGTCTGATGGCACAATTTATTCGGATATGTACGAAGAAGCATAGAAAAAGACTGCTGATGAAAATTACAAAAGTAACAAAAATCTCAGGATTCAAAGCCTCTGTAGTGCTGTCGTGTAAAGAAGGAACACCATAGGCCTTACGTAGGATTCCTAATGAAGCAGGAATTAGGGTGGCATTTAAACTAACCAACTCTCTCAGAGGTAAACTTTGTCAGCTTAACGACTCAACATATCCAACTGAGAAAAATACTATGATTTACCGAATACCGCGTCGGTGGCACAGCGATTAGGACGCTCGCCGACCATGCACATGGTCCGGGGTTCGATTCCCGACCGACGCACTCCTTTATCTCGTTAAGCCAGAAATAAAGTTGGTAAAGAGGGAAGGTTGGGCATGAAGCTGGCTAGCAACCCCATCATGTAAAAATGAACACTGCTACAGAAACTTCAAGCTGGCTCTAGCTTGAAGCCCTATGTTCTTTTGGGAACGTGAAGGAATAAAAAACCGAGTACCATGTAATGGTGACAGTGAGGTCAATTATATAGGTCAAACTAGTAGATCGGGGTCAGCTAGATTAGTGGGACATAAAAGTTTACCTAGACCTAGAATAATTGGTCCAGCTAAGTTAAATAACCTAGAAAAAAGCCCAGCCATTGCATTCACTTGCATGTAATCACAAAATAAGGCGGGTTGAATAGGATGAGAATATTAAAAATTGATATAGTTAGGTAGAGAGAGAGAGAGGTTAATCATTGAAGTTTTGTTTATCGGTCCAACACCACACGCATACGGTCGAAATGACGCGACCTCAGTGTCACCATCAGTTTTCGCAGATTTCGTTGATTTTCTCTAGACATCAAAAATAAATGTTTGTAACTGGGATGAAACTAACTGCAATATGTTAGACTCTAGAACAATGAGTAACTATTTTCATTTTCATTCGAGTGTTGGCTCTCGAAGGGATTTGATTTGATTGGTTACAGGATTTTATCATGAGCTGGCATCGGTTAGAGAACCATTGAAAAATCTGCAGGGAGTACTGGATAGCTGTTTCGTCCAATCAGATCAATTCACTTCAAACCAACACTTGAATATCAATTTGATGCTCACACTAGCGACTGGTCCTATTCAAGTAGTTGGTTACCTGGGTTCTAGCGGGAAGTCGTGGCCAGTGTAGCACACCAGGTCGGATGTGGGGACAAATACTCGCCATCGATGACACTAACTATTGCCAGTCGCGCTATATCGTGAATTGACAGAAGTCGGAATTCATGGAGTAGCCACTGGATCGGGTCCTAGCGGCTAAATTTGTCATTTTTGTTGGATGGTTGTGCCAAGCTAATACGTTCTTCTGTTTTCCACTGATGAGGATTTTAAACAGCCCGAGTAAAAATAATGCTTAGTAATTTAATTTTATAATACTCATTTTTGTTTCTTATTCTATTTCCTACTAATTAATATATGAAGAAACTTTTATGTTGTATTCTGGACTATTTTCAGCTGCATTTCGAAGTGGATACCACCCGCATGCGTGATTCACATTCCAGCGTTTATTCATTAGGCTGTCCGGAGTCAGGATTTGCAAGTGATACTGACTGCCAGCACTTGAATTCTCATTTGTCGAATAACGGTGTTGTTTCCGGTCCATTCTCAAGTAATTCACAAAGTTTGAAGTCTCCCTGTTCTCCATTTCGCGATAAACTTCGTTCTCATTCTGTAGACTGTTTACGTACTTCTAATACAAGTGAGTAATGTAGTGATTTTTTTGTATTTATTTATTTGTTTATTGGTACGAACGAAAGAACGCTTGGATCATTACCATTGACTAACCGGTTAATCTCTGCCGCTGAGGTAGTCGTCTGAACATAAAACTAGTATATAAAATATCACTAGCAGTATCGCAGTGGTCTGAGTAGTGTTTATTGACTTCAGCTGTTCTGCATAGTATTTGTTGATGTCATTATTATTAATACTATTATTATTCCTTTGGGTTTCGAGTGGAATGTTGGGCTTCAGTAGCACACGTTTCCATTTCGTCTTGTTCTCTGTAGTTCTCTTTATCTGGCTCCATGATTGCCCATAGGCTCTCATCTCCCCCTCCATGTCACCCTCGGACTCACGCCCAACTCGTCGTTTCTTATTCGGATTCTCCTCGAGAGATGGGCTCGTGCATAATGTCACCCAACGGTTTCCTTAGTGTGTATCCGACCCATCTGCATTTTCTCCGGAATATTTGTATAGCAATACCCAAGGGAACAATAATAATAATACGTTCTTGATTGATTCCTCGGTTCCCAGAGTTTCTTGTTGTGCTAATGTAAATGTATACATCATACCCTGTCGACCCAATTAGACAAAATAATATAATTTACAAAATACCATGCAATGACGATGATTTGCGTCAACTACATAGGTTAAACTAGTAGGTCGGGAGTAGTCAGATTGTCAGAACATAAGAATTTAGCTAAGGTAAGAACGGTTGACCCCACCCGAGAAGATAAGTAATTTAGAAAAAAGTTCAGCAATCGCACTTCACGCATTAACACACAACCACACAATAGGGTGGGTGGGACAGAGTCAAAATTCTCAAAAGTTATATAGGTAGGTGGAGAGAGATGAGTTGTTTACTGAATCCTTGTTCATCGAATAATCTACACCCAACACATGCAATAGGAATGATTCATTGCTCATACCAGAAATATGGGAAATATTACTACCAGTCAAATGAAGAGATCAAAAATAGTGGAATCATATTAACGAAGTTAGGAAGTTGTGTGAGTACCTTGATATGATTATGAGCAATAAATTGTGCTCGAAACGTTGTCATCAGTAAACATTACTGTGCAACATTGTAAGACTTTATCAAAATAGAATTTTATCCACAATGGAAGACAGGCACTATTGCACTTGAAGTGCAAATATTTGGTTACAGGTTACGTCTTTAAAAAGTACGATAATTTCAACCAGTGAAAAAAAGTCTTATTGTGCAGACTGCAGCTTAGATTTATGATATTGTGAATGAATGTGAAATGTCTTAACCATTGATGAGAAAAATAGTTTCTCTCCAATATCGAAATGATAATGAAAAAAAATAATTACCACTAAAAAAGTAAGATCTTATCAGACAAACAGAATTAAAGTGTTTTAGACTGTATTTTATGATGCACTTTGAATAAACTGTTGTGTTTTGGGAAATTTCATCATGAATGTGGAGCGATTGGAAACGAAGGAGCTATGAACAACCATTACATTACCAATATGCGACTTTTTACCAGTGTACATTCACGACCCTTCGACAGATGGATTGCAGGACGTTCATTCACAAACGCAGTGTCATAATTTAGATAATCATAATTCCCAACTTCTACTGACTTTCCATTGAACTCCTATGTCAGATTATCTTGTCTCTTGGCCTCTTTCGTTCACACTTCTCTCACCAAGGAATTAATAAATTGCAACAAGAAACTCTGGCTGTGGACCAACTAAGAACCTATTGCTCAACAAATATTCCGAAGAAAGTGGAGATGGATTGGACACACGCTGAGGTGAACGTCGAATGACATCTTGCGTCAGGCCATCGATCGTGTGGAACCCTAATGGGGAAAAGACGAGTTGAGAATCTGAGGATGGTATAGGGGAGGTCGTGTGAAGAGGAGATGAGAACCTATGGGTAATCGTGGGCCTAGCTAAAGAGGACCGCAGAGAATAGGACAAAGTGGAGCTGTTCTTTTGAAAGCCTATGTTCCACTCGTAACCCACTGGGAACAATAATAATATTATAATCCTGCTTTTCATGAGTTATTAACATAGATATTAGTTCTCAGTTGTTTCAGTGAAAAGTTGTGGCTAGTAATGGTCATCAGTTTGGTTGTGAGAGTGGATATCCTCCGCCCTGATAGAAATAGAACCGATGGAAGCCAATTGCCACATCCTTCATGGTCACTCGAATTCTACTTTGTGGCTAAATGGTAACGCGTCTGTTGTCTGTAGGTCCTAGGCTCCAACCGTCCCGAGATTATTGCTGCACATTTTTGAGAGGTCTAGGGCTCAGGGCTCTCTGTTTTTCAATGTCACTTAACAATTCATAAAGAAACCGCCCTTGAAATTTTTAATTGCAGTAAGGAAGCCACTCATTTACTAAGCTATAAAGCAAATATTGTGCGCGTGATGTTCCAGTTGAAAATTCACTATGTATCTAAGAAGCCCATGGCAGTCAGATTTCTACATCACCTTCATCGACTTTTTAAAGGCCTTCGACAGCGTTGACCGTGAAGTAGTTTAGAAACTACTTCAGCACTATGGAGTGCAGTGCTCAAATCTTTATCAATGGTTTTCAATAACTATATAACAGTGGGACGTCTCAAGTGGTCCACAACAGAAAATCCAGTGAAGCCTTTGAAGTGAAGACAGGAATAAGACAAAGCTGACTACTATCACTGATGATAGTCCTAATTGTGGTGGACCAAATTATGCGGAACACCGTGCGTGGGGAGTGGAAAGATAGGAATACATTGGACCGACAAGAATACTCTAGAAGAGCTGGACTTTGCGGATTTTCTATATCTAGTGAGAAATAAATTCGAAGACTTACTGGAGGAAACCAACAGGCTGGCAGAAGAAGTGGTTAGAGCAGGACTCCAAATAAATATAGTGAATACGAAGGTAATGAAGGTAACCAACCAACTAACAAGCATCATTCACTAACAAAGGGAAAAGTTTTAGAGGTTACTTGCTTCATTGATATAAGAATAAAACTTGTGCACTGTGTTAGAGTATAATTCCATTGTAGATAAAATTTATTTTGATAAAGTCTCACAGTGTTATACAGTAATATTTACTGATGACAACGTTTCGACCACCATTTATTGCTCATAAACATATCAGGTTACTGAGACAACTTTCCTACTTCGTTCATATGATTTCACTATTTTTCATCTCTTGATTTGATTGGTAGTAATATTTCCCATATTTCTGGTATGAGTAATGAGTCATTCCTATTGCACGTGTTGGGTGTAGATTATTCGATGAACAAGGATTCAGTAATCAACCTCTGTCTCTCTCCACCTACCTAGATTACTTTTTAGAATGGTAACCCTCTCCCACCCTATTGTGTGGTTGTGTGTTAATGCGTGCAGTGCAATTGCTGAGCTTTTTTCTAAATTACTTATCTTCTCGGAGTCAACCATTCTTACCTTAGCTAAATTCTTATGTTCCGACAATCTTACTACTTCCGATCTACTGGTGTGATCTATGTGGTTGACCCCACAGTCATTGCAAGGTATTTTGTAAATTATATTATTTGGTTTAATTGCGCCCACCGAATCCTTTAGCCAACAGAGCTTGTCTCTGAGTGGGTTTGCAGGTCTGAATGCCACTCTAATTGCTGCTTTATTAAGAATCCTACACAGGGTCTCAGATGTACTTACTTTACTTTACTTCGGCTATCTCCTACGGGAGGATGAGCCGGCTTCATGAGCATCTCGAATCATCGCTGCCCAGGCGCGGCGATCTGATGCAAGGTTTTGCGACAGGGTTATCCAATTCTTGTTCCACAGACGGAGTCCGTAGACGGTTTGTAGCCCCAGGCGCTCCATATCGGCCTTGACTGTACCAAGCCATGTTTTCCGCTGTCCTCTCCTGCGACATCGCTAAGATGGTAATGGCGAGGGATTTAGAACTGATTTGATCAGATCTCGTTTGTAAGAGAGCTCATGAAGTTTCATGGGAATTTGGTACGAGTGATGTCCCCAGAATCGCTTGGCCTTTTGTTTGAGAGTGCAGCTCTAGCCTTTACACAACCAAGTGTGACCTACAAGGCAGTAGAAGTGGAGTAGGAAGTCCACTATCCATTGGCAGCCGGTGACCGGAGTTCGGTTCATACGCCTTTTTGAATGGGGCCAGACATACAGGATATCCAACAAACCCTTTGTCCATAGTCTACCAGTGAGCTTCATACGCCAGTCGTTGGAGGTTTGGAATCAGGGTTTAGCCATCTCCCCTAGACTGTCATCCGATGGACAGTCAACCCGGTGAAGAGCGCCGGGCATCCGCTTTCGCCCTCTCACTTTGGTGAAAAACACCTCCGCCACGTGAAGGCAGTGAGTAGGACTTTCTCAGGAGAGGCTATGTAAGACGCCCGGTCATATGGGAGCATTTGAAGAGGTGTGTGGAGGGATGGCCAACCCGCAGCGCAAGGCACCCACCCCCGACCACCCTGAGGCTTTGGAGGCGTCTCAGATGTCCCCTCCCTCCTTATATGGTAAAACTGTAGATGACTTATATTCTCTCTTATTTATGTTATCATTACTAGTTTCACAATTATTTTTATTTTGCTTTTGGCCTTTTTCAATATTCCTAATGAACTTAATAGGATAGTTATTTGGTACCAACGCTTCTTCTATCTGTTTTATTTCGTCAGTTAGCTCTTTTTTTGTAGTACTTAGTGTTACTGCTCGGTTTGTTAGACATTTAACTAAGCCTGCCTTAACAGTTAACGGATGAAATGAATTAAAGTCTAAATATCTATTAGCTCAACGCGTTGGTTTTTTATAAACACTAGTGTGTAGTTTACCTTATTCTATTCGCTTCATTTTACAATCTAACATAGCTAATTCTCCTTGTTTATTTTCCGATTCAAATGTGAATTTTATTCCCTCCACTAGTGAGTTTATATGTGTGAAGAAGCTAGAGATATGTTCTGTTTTTAACACTGTGTATAAAAGTGTCATCCACATATCTCCACCATATTTTTGGAGTAGGATTAAATGTATTAAGAGCAGTATTGTGCTCGAAACGTCAATTGCCTTACTTATCTGACCAGTCAGCATCCTTCCAACTGCATGCGGAACAGATGAAAATGTCAAATCCAGAGTAGGAAAGGTAAAACAGACCTTCGTCACTCTGAAATCGGTTTGGATATCAGCTTCACTAACCATAAAGTAGAAAATTCGGATTTTGAACACCAATGTTAAGTCAGTCAGTCAGTCAGTCACTTCTTGGTTCACGCATCACGAAAAACTTTACCAACAGATTACATACTTTTATCAACAGCTGGCTTAAAGAGGAAGTCGTATGAAGTGTGGAGATGAGAGACGGACTATGGGCAATCGTGGGGCCAGATGAAGTGCACTACATAGAACAGATTGAAATGGCAATGTCCTGTTGAAGCCCTGTGTTTCACTCAGAATCCAAGAGAATAATAATATTAATATCAACAAGCCTGTATGCAACCATTTCATTTCAGACTAAATCAATTAAGGGCAATTACAAATGTAAATATATAATTGCAATGTAATAGACTTAATTCACTAGACATTTCTGACTGCACTATTAAAGTCATACGCTTAGTTTTAACGATAAATTGCCTGTCACTTCATGTTATTTACTTTCTCTCTCTCTCTCTTGATACTTTCAGGTTCTAATGCTTCTGAAGAAGCAGATAAAGATTCCTGCACTGAATTATATCATCATGACACCAATCGTACACCGATTAAATCCGTCAATTATTCAATTGATGATAACAAAAAGAATATAGATCACGGGGATGAAGCTTTATCTAATCAGTCTCAACGTTCATTCAGTTTTTACTTTGAACAGAGAAGTTCTTTTGACCATATATCTCAAAATAGTGGAGATTCTCGTGCATCTAGTTACCATGATTTGGTTCCTTCAGTTGTTATTTTAAATGATTCCAAGGTGATAAATATACGGTAAGTCATTGATTTTGTCCTGTTAATGGTTACATTAAAATTAAAAACAAAATAGAGCTATTTTGTTTTTATTTCTTTTCATAAAACAGCAACTGGTTATTTTGTGTCTAGCTTGAATTGTCTGTGTTTTTGTAACTGGTATCGTTAGAGTGTATAGCTTATTTTTATAGCATTATTCCCTTGGGCTCCGAGTGGAACATAGAGCTTCAACAGCACTTCTTCATTTTATCCTGCTCTCCACAATCTTCTTCAGCTGACCCCCACGATTGCCCATAGTTTCTCATACTGTCCTCAGACGATTTTCTCCATGTCACCCTCGGACCTATGCCCAATCACTTCGTCGTTTCTCACTCGTATTCCACTCGAGAGGTTGCCTGGTGCGCGGTGTCACTCGACGGTCTCCTCAGCGTGTATCCGACCCATCTCCATTTTCTTCGAAATATCTGTTGAGTTATAGGTTATTAATTGGTTCCTTCGTCCCCAGGATTTCTTGTTTCTCATTCTTTCCGTTTGTTCATGTGATCGTCATTATTCTGAAGACTTTATATTACCCACACTGAATAGCTTTCCTATCGTCTTAATATTTCATCTTAGTTACTGACTAAATCTAGTGTGAAGTGCATGAGTCTTTTATATTACGTCGTTACATTAGTAGTCAGTGATTATTATTGTTATTATTGTTCCCTTGGGTTCCTAGTGGAACAAAGGGCTTCAACTGCACATCTCCACTTGCTTCTGTCTTCTGCTATACTTTTCACCTGCATCCATGTTAGTCCATACTGTGTCAGCTCCTCTTCACACGATCTCCTCGATGTCACCCTTGGACGTCCCACTCGCCGCTTCCCTTTCGGGTTCCACTCGAGCTATAGCCTGACGCACGATATCACCCGGCGTCCTCCTCAGAGAGTGTCCAATCCATCTCCACTTTCTCCTGAATATTTGTTGAGCGATTGGTTCTTGTTCTGTTTGTTCCCATAGTTCCTTGTTGGTGATTCTTTCCGGCCATCTGATCTTGAGTATAGAACGAAGATTACTAGATTTCTGGCTCCCTAGTTTTCTAGCCGGTCCCAAGTCCGGATAAAGAGGGAGGGTTGGGGCGTGGTGCTAGCAACTTCACTCCCAAAACTTAACCAAATTGCTACAGAAAATTCAACGCACAAATATATTGAAAATTCTAAAAATATAAACAGTAGTCAGTGAAGGCATTAGAAAAAGCATTCATAGGACGAAACGAAAAAATATCAGTTATATATAACAAGTAATTTCCGAATTCCCCACTTACGCATTTAGAAAAAACAACAAATTGAGCGAAGAAGCATATTCCTTTTCAATTAGTTCCTCATCATCCGCTGGCTCTACACTAATATACAGCTTTTCACATCAGAATTTTTTTTACCAATCAAGTGGTTATTTTAGTTAATCAGTTTTAGGTATAGAGGGGGGGGGGGTGGGAAATTAAGAGGTTAGAAGTCATCAAAACAACTAACTAACAGTTATCAGTAACAAGATATCTAAGTTTTGAAGGTGGGGTGGAAACTAATTATGGAATTTAAGATAAGTTGATTCCTAGGCGTTAGCAACAAATTGTTACATAATCAAGAAATTTTTAAAATAATGGCTAAATTCGTGAACAAATACATGAACTCAGAAAGTAAAAAGTTGAAGTTGCCAACTGTCCCCCAAAAATGAATCTTTCTAAGATTACAATTCACGGGTAATATCAGTAGCGAGATCTTATCATCCCAACGTCTTAGAAGGGCCTTCGAAAGGACTTTCAACGCAGCTGAGCTATGGTGTGTATTCACTAGCCAACCAATACTCAGTTCAAAAAATAAAGACAGACTGCCCTTTTTCGCCTCTTCCATGTGCATTTACCAGTTTAACTGTTCCTACAGAGCTAGTAACGTTGAGAGTACGGTCAGGTAAGTTCATCGTCGAATTTGTGAACACCTCCCATCTTGGTTTAGCACAAGTCCGAATAAAGATATATGCAGCTCAATACTAGCTCATCTCGCCGATACTGGACATCTGATCGACTCTAACAAAGCTTTTAAAGTTATTTATCGTATATCACCCAACCTCTCGCATGGTCTACGAGTACCACTTTTACATACAGCAGAGGCAATCGGAATTCATCTGAACAAGCCAAATCTGTATGTTCAAAAGAAATTTGTACAGCCCCTTTCTTTGCCATGGCCAACTACACAATATGTATTAAGTTTTTAAAAACGATTTTTTCCCTTCCCCTTGTAACTATCTTTTGACTTTGTTAATTTTTTACAATTCTAGCTAATTCCATTAACTTGTTTGTATTTCACGTGATTCTACTCAGTCATCTTATTCTTCTTAGTCATTATTATTTTACAAATTTCTTGATTATGTAACAATTTGTTGCTAGCGCCTAGGAATCAACTTATCTTAAATTCCGTAATTAGTTTCCACCCCTCCTTCAAAACTTAGATATCTTGTTACTAATAACTGTTAGTTAGTTGTTTTGATGGCTTTTAACCTCTTAATTTCCCGCCCCCTCTATGCCTAAAACTGATTAACCAAAATAACAACTTGATTGGTAAAAATATTCTGATGTAAAAAACTATATATTAGTGTAGAGCCAGCGGATGATGAGGAACTAATTGAAAAGGAATATGCTTCTTCGCTTAATTTTTTGTTTTTTCCAACTGTGGAAAGTGACTACAAATTTACCGTTCATACCTAATTCTAAAGATTGGAAGCTACCTATTCCAGCTATGCTATCACTTGAATTTATCGTAAACGTTGTCTGTTAGAAAATTTTTTTTTACTTTACGTTCCCAGTGGAACATAGCGCTCAAGCTAGAGGTTTGAAGTTTCGGTAGCAGTGGTGTTTATTTTTGCGGGATCGGGTTGCTAGCCAGCCTCATGCCCAACCTTCCCTCTTTTGCCTGTCTTTTTACTGGCTTAGTGAGGTAAAGGAGTGCGTCGGTGGCCGGGGATCGAACCCCGAACCACATATGGCGTGGTTGGCGAGCATTCTACCGCTGTGCTTCCGGCGCACCTATTAGACAATTAGCAGCTTAAAAAATTATATGCCATTGCAGTGTTGATACCGAAATGTAGACTAAAAAGAAGGACACATAAGGAAGATTCATCACTATCCACTGTTTTGTTTTATAGTTAAACAACATCTCCGTCATCATTTCAACTTAAACCTAGCCTTTCTCTATAATATATCCAGTGTATCGGAATAGTTTGGGCGTAATCATTGGTCAAAAAAACTATTATTACATTCAGTTGTGATGATGATGTTACAAAATCCAATTATTTATTATTTTGATTCAAGGTTAACGAAAAAATTTGTGTTTACAACAAGTTTTTATTGTCTGATACATTTTCATTTCACTTGCGTACTTTTATCATGTTCCTAACTATAATAGTCATCCATATTAGTTAATTCTAGGCACACCATACTTATATTATTTTCATTGAACACTAGATAGTAAGTAATAAATGTCATACGTCTAGTTCTTCTTTTTAGTGCAGACTGAATTCCGTCAGTCAGCTGTGCAATATGGCCATCATGCTAGATGGGGCTCACCATCACGGTGTACTGTGGATTGTTGTTAGAGATGGTAGCTGGAGGAGGCTAGGTCCAAGGCTTCCCGTCGATTGCATCCAATCATGAAATTCAGTCTGCACCAATACCAAGGACTAAATGCATGACATAACGTGCTATCTTAGTGTCCAATGAAAGTATTGATTACAGTCCTACGGGATGTATGTCTCGAGCACAAATAACTCAGTGGTAACGTCTCTGACTGCAGCACTGGGCAGCCACATGGGTTCGAATCTCAGAAGGAACATGAAATCCTTCAAGATTGCAGATATGCGTCTTGCTGACTGACGAGAGGCGATAAGCATGAAGCTTAGGTCGAAGACTTCCAATCTGTTGCCTCCAACCATCTAACAGCAATACTTATGTTATATTTGTGAATTTCATCTTAAAGATATGGGAAACATTGAAGCTGTTTTGAGTCGTGTACTAATATATTCGTAAAAAAAGCTGAATTAGTCAATTTAACCTCATATAGTCTTATTTTCTGTTTTGATCGTTTTTCAAATGGCTGAAAATGATTTTGTTACTCAATATTATGTCAATTAGTTACAGTTGTTTTCATCTTTATTAGTCACTGTCTAATCACGACTTGTCTGAGCTGACAAGTCACGACTAACTGGTAGAGCTTCGCACAAAATGCATCATATCAAGTTGTCAAACTTAGGAAAAAAAAGAGTAATTAGATGAAAATTGGTGAAGATTTTAGGGATCCAAAAAGTGACAAGGAGTGAATGTACATTTACCATTGTGAATAACCCTTATTTATGTCACCTACATTGTCCAACTAATCACTCTTAGCATCCCGGAGATACTAAGTAAATAGTCAACACCTCCCTAAATGACTTGAACCATTGACCGCTGGCTTTATGGATTAGTATCAGGTTTTCATCTGATCACCCATCAATCTCCTCCAGGCAAGTTCTGTTTCACTTGTAGGTCAATTAAACTGCTCCTCAAATTGTTCTGCTTTAAAGTCTCTCCTGAGAAGTTTATATTCCACTCTTTTCAGAAATCATTTCACTTATTATAGCTTTTTAGAACCCGATTCTCTAGTGAGTATAAATTACCCAATTCTCGTGCCTTTCCCCTCCATTTCATATTTGTCACCAGTCGCTTTTCTCAGTCATTGTAAAAACTTTTAGGAACCTTTTGTCCCTCATATTCATAGCCCGTAGTAAACAATTTCCTTTTAAACAGTTAGGACGAAACTACAGAAATCCACTGTGTTATGTACGTGCATGAACTAGTTAGTGCATAAACGAAGTCCACACAGATTTTCCAGAAGGTTATCAATGCACTCACGTTCGAGAATCCTTAACCTTCATTTATCTTCACTGGTCTGATTGTAATGGGAGAAGATAAAAGACTTGATAACAGACCTTTAGGGAAAAAATATTTATACATTCTTAAATTTCAGCTAGGTAAGAGGAGAATAAATTATTCTGAATGGCTGGTAATTGGCCCAAGGTTAAATAACTTATCCAATGTGGTTATTTCATGTCGACAAAATTAACTAAGTCCAGATTTGAGTTATAACCACTTCTACCTCAATAGTCTGCAGCCATTGACTTTTAATTTTGACCTCTTCCTATCAATCTGCATCAATACACACAGAATATTCATTCTGAAATTTTAAACTCTTGTCGTTTTCTGCCCTATATGAGAAGTGTAAGTTGCTGATTTTTTTTTCATCCTGAAAAGAATTTGAAACCTGTAGTTTTAGATAACTGCAGTGACTCGAACGCCTCCTAATTCATTCTCATATTCAAGTATTATCGGAATAACTGCTATCTACCAAATCGCCGACTGAAGATACAAAACCGGTGTCATGAAAAATGCACCATACAAAACAGTATAAAAGTTAAGGTAAAGGAAGTATTCAAGTGTTTGTTTGCAGGAATTCGATTGATTTCAGGATTTCATCATGAACTGAAATCGGTTAGAGGACCATTGGAAAGCCACGAGGGAGTACTGGACAACCGTTTCGTCCTAGTTTGGGACCCTTCATCGGTATGCAACCGTGAGGTTCGAATCTAGGACTTTTTGGTTACAAGGCGAGCTCGGAGACTATTAAGCCACTGGGATCCGATCCAATGGTTCATGAATTACAACTTCTGCCAATTCATGATATGGCGCAACCATTAGCGAATGTCATCGGTGGCGAGTGTTCGTCCTCACATCCGACCTGCTGTACTTCACTCACTGGTCACGACTTCCCACTAGAACCTGAATAGGACCAGTCACTAGTGAGCATCAAATTGATATTCAAGTGTTGGTTTGCAGGGATTTAATTGGTATCAGGAAAGGAAATAATAATAATTTCAAATTGATAAAATGACCAAATGAGTCTTTCCACAAAATAGATTCAGTCAAGCGTGGAACTACCAAAACTGATTCTTTGTGATCTTGAAATCAAGTCATAAAACTATCGAAAGCCAATAAAAAGATGGTTATTCATTGATAAATCTATGTGGCTCTTTTCAACAGCAACAATAATAGCATCGAAAACCTCAAAATTACCTGAACAGTGCTGTTAGGTACTTCTGCTGGCAAGACAATTTTCTAAGTACAAAATAAGCAGTGTGGAACAAATTAGTTAGCCAAAATTAAACTGTAAGTAGTATTTTGGAATCAAGTAGAATATTCCCAACAAGATGGGATGAAAAACTCTGTCCACACGAATCACACACCAACGCTCCTAGCAGACAGTCCAAGGTCAGAATGACCATCATTAATTCAAGTAAAATGACATCGTAAATCAACACATTATCAGTGTGTCGCCCAACAAATATGCAGGAGAAAGTGGAGATGGATTATACACTCGCTGAGGAGGCCGCTGGGTGACATCGCGCGTCAGGCCATAGCTCGAGTGGAAGCGGCGAGTGGGACGTCCAAGGGTGACATGGAGGAGATCGTGTGAAGAAGAGTTGAAACAGTATGGATTAACATGGACGCAGGTGAAAAGTACAGCAGAAGACAGAAGCAAGTGGAGACGTACAGGTGAAGCCCTATGTTCCACTAGGAACCCAAGGGAACAATAATAATGATAATAACAATCAGTGTGTCGCACAACCACGAAAAGAAGCATTAAAATTAGAGATTAAACGATGATGAAGACAAGGTTCAAGTCAACAATATGATATGCAAATGTCAGAACAATGATATACAGTTTAGGAGAAAAACGGATAATAATTACAAAGATGGAACGACTGTCCAAATAAGTGCCAATAACGTAATATAATCGTTCAGATGGGGGTGGGGGGGGAGATGGATTTTCCAAACAATTATTCCGTTACAAAGCGTTATTCATTTTGTATAAGAAATGGGGAAGCTACAACACGATCTTTAACCATTTGACTCCATTTGGTAAATCGTATTGCTTCTCGTTACAGGTGCTGTCTCAATACAGATGTCCTTCGTTTATGTAGTCTTTTCATACTGGCTCGGATGAACTGAAAAATAACTTTTATCCTCTAAAAATGCAGAAGCCGATTAAAATTATCCCCAAAATCACAATGTAGCATTGGTTAACCTTTCATTTGTCGACGTTCCTAATTTTGCTTTTTAAAGTTTTTATTTTTTTCTTCCTTCACGTTCCCAGTGGAACATAGGGCTTTAAGCTAGAGGCCTGAAGTTTCTTTAACAGTGTTTATTTTTACAGGATGAGGTTGCTAGCCTCATGCCCAACCTTTCCCCTTTACCAGCTTTATTCCTGGCCTAGCGAGGTAAAGGAGAGCGTCGGCGGTTGGGGATCAAACCCAGGACCGTGTGCATGGTTGGCGAGCATCCTAACCACTGCGCCACCGACGCACTAAAGAGTTATCTACTAGACCACTTGGGCCATAAAGTTTTTATGGTTGTGTCCAATTTAATATGAGTTATCGCATGTTTCCTTGCACTTATAGTGTAATATAATATATATCTGTCAGTTGATTACAATGTCTAAGTAACTTAAATAATTTAAGTGTAGACACAAATAAGTTTGTGCGCAGTGATTGGTTGTATTATGCGTTGATCTGTTTCGATTCTTGTGTGTGTGTGTGCGTGTACGTGTGTATGTATTATTCATAGGTTATTTTGAATTGAAATCATCATAACTTCAATAAAACTGTCTAATCAAATAACTAACACCCACCCACTCACACGCACACACACACGCACGCGCGCACACCATTACTTAACCTTGACATGCAAAATTATGTATTTTTGCATAGATTGTTTTTAATTCTACACTATTCCTCATTTCGATTAATCCAACAACCTTACATATATCCAAGCGTGTTCAGCTTATTATTATAATTTTTTTGATTGAATACCTCCTAAGGAATTGATCTAGATCGGATTATCGGCTCCGTTGTAAGTTTTTTTTCCTTCTTCTTTATTGTTCAACTTTTGTTGTGTACTGTTCACTGAACGATATGTGAAGTGTAACAGAGTTAGTTTTCTCAAGATATTTCCCCAACTCACTGACTCTTCATCAGGTAGAGGTTTTTTTTACTATAGTTGTATATATTATTATTATTATTCCCAGGCCCATTTGTCCTATTCTCTGAAGTCCTCTTTAGATGGCAGCACGGTTGCCTACAGACTCTCACCCCTTCCTAACACAATTGTCTCCATGTCACCCTCAGACTCACGTCCAACTTGTCGTTTTCCACGCTGGCGATGGCCGGGGCCACTATGTCACCCAACGGTCTCCTCAGCATGTGTCCGATCTATCTCCATTTTCTTCCATATATTTGCTGAGCAATAGGTTCTTGATTGGTTCGTCCGTTGCCAGAGTTTCAGGCTGGTGTCATCCGATCTTCAGCATGGAGCCAGTGAAGGCAGCTGTTGACAGATGTCTGCAGCGACCTGTTGGAAATGCTTTTTGTGAGTCGTTAATGAGGAGTTAAGTGGAAAAGATTTCCACACTTATTTCAGAGTGGCGAGCGTTTGTTTTGTCTTTCCGATTCTAGAATTGACATCTTCACCCGCGCTGCCTCCTGCGGTTGAAATGATTAGTGCCTAGATAAGTGGAGGAAGTGACCTCTTTCTTATTCCTCTCCTCGACTGTGATTGGTTGTTGTTGTTGTTGGTGGTGGTGGTAGTTGGTTGGTTATCTTCATCACCTCTGTCTCCTCTATATTGACTTGAAGTCCTGTCTTCGCTGGCTGCTTCTTTTGTCAGCATGTTAGTGTTGTCGTGATACTACTTAATTCCCCGTTTTGAAATGGACAGTATTTTAAGTATAAGAATCATTGATCGAAAGTCATAGCTTGAGCTAACATGCTCAACTTAGGACTAAAATGTCTCCTACTCAATACTTTCAGTGCGTAAATATGATTGATTAACCCAGCAAATAGCCGTCATTGACTAATTTTGTTTATGTGCAAATGAAATAATATTTATTGGAAAATGTGTTACCATTTAATGGATGTCGTTTCAAACACAATTAATCGTCCATAATCTCTCGCTTTATATATATAATGGCGTTTATTATTTAATTTTCTTTCATGTATTCTTTATAACAGCTCTTCATTAGATCAAATTCAATCTACTTTTAACAGTGCAGAGAATTCATCCAACATGCCTGTTGCTTCTGTCACTGTAAGTAATAATCATGAGATGAGGAGTCAAAAGCTGGAGCTGTCATCAAACTCTTCGCGTCTTAGTACTTCTGTTGACACTGAATCTTCAACCACCATTAAGTCTCGAAGAAATTATTCAATTTCATCTTCTGAATTATGTATGGAATATCATGAGAATGCAGAAAATGAGGATTTCGATGATACCACTTTCTCTGAGTTGATCCCATCAACTACAGAATTCGACTCGAATTCGCATTCATTTGATGCTGGACAAAAATCGTCTGATTTCGTATCGCCTATGAATTCTCCAAATTATCATGATATTAATGATCATGATGGTGGTGATGATAATGGTGTTGTTGATAGTCATCGAACCGCTAAAATCCCTAGTTTTAATAATGTTGGTGATGGAATGTGTCATAATGTAAACCCAAGTGGTATTCAAGCGACCGATGACAATCATGACACGTCAGTTGATGGACTAGAATGGGATCATTTAGGTGATATACGAGGTAAGCGACTTCCTCCTATCTATTCTCTTGTTTTTTTGATATATCACCAAGTTTTGAACAACACATTTAAGCAAACAATATTGTGGTTTCAAATAGATTTCATCAGGCTGAACTCTAATATACCTACATAACTTTATAAATAAAAATTCAAATATAAGCCAATCATGGTGTTGTAGTGTACATTGTACCTTTGAACTTTTGTTTGAATGAATGCAACCTGACATGTTTAACTTCAGTGTTTTGTCTATAGGATAATAAGATGGTGAATAAAAATTGTGCAATTAGTCATAATAATAATAATGGTTTTATGATTTTCATCATGAGTTGACATTAGTCAGAGAACCATTGGAAAACCCGGGAGTACTGGACAGCTGTTTCGTTGGCCTGGTTTGGTACTCTTCATCAGTACGCACCCACCGGGATTCGAACCCAGGACCTTCTGGTTACAAGGCAAGCTCGTATACCATTAAGCCACTGGGACCCGATCCAATGGCCCATGAATTCTAACTTCTGCCAATTCACGACACTTGAATAATGGTTTTATCAATAATAAGGGTGAAAAAGTGAGGTAATCTGTGATAACACGAATAATGAAAAACAGCATGATTAAACAAACAAATGTTCAGGTGGACGCAGTAGTCGATAAAGGCTAAGAAAAACAAATGAACCGATTAAGTAATGCTAGATTGTAAGGGAAGTAAATGAAACACGTTTTTAATGAAGATGTGATAAGATTAAGGGATGATAAGAGAGGAGTTGAAAATATAAGTATAAGTAAGGGTTGGTGTAGAAGTCATCAGTTGGTTATGTCTTAATAGGCCAACAAGGGAGGGATAATGGCTGTACGAACTTCTTTTGAATGTATAGTTTAAGGTTTAATAGTTCGAATGCCTATCGCCTCAGCTCTGTGCAGTATTGTAGTAATCATGTATTACGCAACAATACACTTTAAACAACTATGCTGAGGTTATTAAAATCTGGTTGTGAGTTTACATCTTCCTCTAAATAATCATAAGATGTTGACTAACAACTCTTCTATCTTGATCTTCCTACTAAGTTAATCCTTCACATTGCAAAACAAGTGTCCGAATTCAACTGTTATCATTCGTGTTACGTTCCGAGTCATATCGCTTAGGCATAATTCAATCGTGAATGTATGTAGACGGCACATTCACAGTGTTAATAACAGCGTATGCATAAGTGTTCCCAAACACCATAGATTTAGTGGCAGAGGCAATCCAATTCACTACTGAGTTAAGAAGCTACGAAGGAGATCTTCCAATGTCAGACTATATAATTGAAATGAGGCAAGATGAGGGGGGGAGTTAAACATTAATTTTTAAAGATAATCCATATATTCAAAGCAGTATTCGAACATCAACTTACCTCCACACTGTCAGTAATCTCAGTGAAATGTATAACTGATAGAGTAGTGCAACTAATTAGTACAGAAGAAAACCTGTGACATGAAGTGAAACGTAAGAGAAGTTTTGACGCTTTACATTGAAGCCGATCAGTTTTTTCCTAGGAATATAGGAGATCATAAAGATTAAAATAAAATGAGAAATTAGAGTGACATAAATACCTAAGGTATTTACAAAGATGACAGCTCCAAGGAAAGGTGCTACCATACAAAGAAACTTTGTTCAGGATTCTTAACCAAAGCAGGGATAAGAATGACACTTAAACCCAATAACTCATGTAGAAGTGAATTGTATTGGCTAAATGATTCCGTCAGAGCCTATTAGACAATAATTCAGTTTGCTCTTATGTCACGAAATGAATGTGGGGTCAAAAACATTGGTTAAAGTAGTGGACTAGGGTTAATTAGCTTGTCAAAGCATAAGAACTTGGTAAAATCGGAACTAGTGTACCCTACTAAAGTCTAAATCTAGAAAAATTCAGAACTGTCATACATATTTATTCTTGTTATTATTGTTCCCTTGAGTTCCGAGTGGGACGTATAACTCCGACAGAACATCTCCACTTTGTCCTATTTGCTGTGCGCCTCTTTAGCTGGGCCCATGATTACCCATATGTTCTCATTTCCTCCTCACACGATCTCCTCCATGCCACCCTTGGACGCCCCATTCGGGTTCCACTCGAGCGGTGGCCTGGCGTGCAGTGTCATTTGACAGTCTCCTCAGTGTATGCCCAGTCTATCTCGATTTTCTTCATCATATGTGCTGAGCAATATGTTTTTTAGTTGGATTTTTTTTCACAGTTTCTGGTTGCTGATTCTTTCTGGCCATTCGATCTTTAAAGTGAAGCGAGGGTGCCGGCTGTTGATAAAAGTCTGCTGTAGCCTGTTAGAAATGCTATCCCTCGCCTAGATTTCTAACCGGTCCGAAGACCCGGAAAAGAGGGAGGTTTGGGTGTGGAGTTTGCGACCTTACCGCGGAAAATCAATCAAACTGCCACATGGACGTCAGAGCACAAGAAAAATATTACAAATATTAAAAAACAAACTTATTTTTCGCTGGGATTGGAGAGACGGAGTGGTACGGTCTGGTGAAAGCCTTCTGGAAACCAGTCAGCCGATGTGTTTTCTTTCGATGGAAGCAAAAATAAGGATAGGGACGTGGAGCTCTCGTACAGTGTGCGAAGCTGGGAAGTCTACCGAGATAGCCAAAGAAATGAGAAAATACTATCGCACACAACCACACAATAAGACGAGAGAAAGCAACGGTCTTAAAGTCTAATATGGTAGGGTGGAAACAGAGGTTGATAACAGAAGTTTTGTTTATCGAATCTTCTGTGGACGCATGCCATTAGAATGATTCAACACCTGTCCCAAGCATATGGAAAATTCTACCCTAACGACAAATGAGAATGGGAAGCTAGAACTATAAAAACCCAGTTTCAAAGTTGAAGAGATGTGTTTGATTTGATTATGAACAGTAAATTGCGTTCGAAATGTCGTCAACTAAATAATACTGTTTCACTATGGGGTGTTTATACCATACAAAGTAACATGGAGTTAAGCGAGAAACTTTTAGAACAATAAGATATAAAGTGTATTATTCAGAGATTAAAAAATTAAATTGACAATTAAGAAACATTGAAGTGCTCTTTCGCTTGTATTCTGGCAGTTGACAGTGCGCCAATATCTCAAGTGATAGAAGATGCTTAAAATGGCTTTGCTCACTTGGAGTGTCATCTTCAACTAATATTATCAGCATAAATCCTTGGATTACTACATTTTGATGCATTTTGATACGGCTCAGATCTGCAATTATTTTTGTGTCATTCGCGTGTTTGTAGTCTTGTGATGAGTGGCAACAAGGCTGGCTAACCTGACTGATCAATGGGAATCTTTCACAAAACTGCATCAGTTCATTTTGCCAAACTTTGAAGAAGCTCATGAAAAAGGAATAGGAATGTAACGAAATCTGCAGTAGATAGAATAATTAAACGAAGACTACTGGATCTCTTTAGCAACCTCTGTGCCATTGGGGAAGATTTCGAGCCAAGCAAGCTTCATACGGGCATTCAGCGATTTCAGCGTTCTACTATCCTACACTTTTTCCGGTATATGTTCTTACTCATACTGTGGTGAGAGCAAGCTGCTAGCCGATTGGTAGACATTGATCTACGCTGATTGGTAGAAATTAATCTAGGCTGATTCAACAACCGATCACAGCTGACCTAGACGTGGACAAATATGATTCGCAGACAAGTGGCTCGCATTTCCGAGAAATATCGAAAACGAGAAAGCAGAAGAAGACTGCCTTTGTTTGCAAACAACCAATCAGAAGACCGCCTTCTTTCTGCGGGCAGAAGCCTATTAATGTACGTAAAAAACATATAAATACCTGTTGGTTTTCGTAATAAAACTGATCTGTTGCCTGGCCCTTGTCTTCTGTTGTTACATTTGGTGTCGCTGCCTACCGACAAATGGAAAGCCTATGCCCTGCATTTTTTGATGGAGACATATGGATCTTCGGGCAGGACTTCGAGGCTTCTTCGCAGTTGAGTAGCGTTCAAGATCTGTCAGCGATGAGGCTGCTACTTGGGACGCTGCTGGGAGGTCGGGAGAAAGCAGCATATGGAAGTATGAGGCGAAATACCTACGAATGTTCGACAGGGTCAGGCAAACAGTTTCCAAAGTGGGAGGGACCATATATGGTCACGTTGAGATGGGGTTACGCAGACAAAATCGCAATGGTAAACACCGTTAAACTAGTGGACATCCGCAAGCGCCGAGATTCCAGACAGCAAGACAACAGAGCAAGGCCCCAAGAACCGAGAAGACCGAGCCGAATTCAGTCCAAGCTACTTGACGGGGGGACGAGTGTGGTGAGAGCAAGCTGCTAGCCGATTGGTAGACATTGATCTACGCTGATTGGTAGAAATTAATCTAGGCTGATTCAACAACCGATCACAGCTGACCTAGACGTGGACAAATATGATTCGCAGACAAGTGGCTCGCATTTCCGAGAAATATCGAAAACGAGAAAGCAGAAGAAGACTGCCTTTGTTTGCAAACAACCAATCAGAAGACCGCCTTCTTTCTGCGGGCAGAAGCCTATTAATGTACGTAAAAAACATATAAATACCTGTTGGTTTTCGTAATAAAACTGATCTGTTGCCTGGCCCTTGTCTTCTGTTGTTACAATACTAATAAAAAATGTCAAAGCAGCACTTTCTCTGAATATATCAGTTCCCTCAAATGACTCACTCATCCTATTTGTAGCCTCTTGTCTAATTTCTATTGTAATCACTGAGTGATTCTATCAATCACGGGTAATATCACGAACTCATCCATATCCAATGCATCTAAATTCTTCTTAGACCCTCCATTTTGAGTGATAACGTTTACATCTATGAAGCAGAACAAAGCGTACTGGTGTGCACTATACACTAGATTCATACTAGGCAGTCGGGTGCTTCACTTGCACCACAGTGAAGTTGAAAGCCGAGCTGATCTTTTGTATTGGCACCCAGTTTTTGTGATTCACACCCAACCAACTTATTTCCTATAATAATTAACCTGAACTATAGTTAGACACTGTTTGGTCCTGAAGTAGTCGTCTACAATTCTACGCAAGGCTAAGAAGCATAATCCAAATATTTTCTGTGTCGTTTAAAGTGTAACGGGTATCTTTATGCAACAGAACCATTTCGTTTTTCTGCTTCAAGAGACCTTAGGATGAGGAAATAGGGAGACCGATAACGCTATAACTCAGTAACCAGTCTGAAAGTATTAGACGTTTGATGAAAAGGTATACTTAACTTGTACCATTATTAACAAAAGACGACAGTATATAAATTCCTTCGGTTCAGAGAGTCAGAAGACCTAAACCTAAAAAATGATTTTATTTCCAAATGGCTGCTGTTAGGAAACAATGCAGTATGCATTTCTGGATAGAATTTTCTAATCTTTTCATTCTTGTATTCACCAAATATTTCTGAGGTTGGTTACGGGATTTCATCATGAGCTGACATCGGTTAGAGAACCATTGGGAAACCTGGGAGTACTGGGCAGCTATTTCGTCAGCCTGGTTTGTGACTCTTCATCAGTACGCACCCACCGGGGTTCAAACCCAGGACCTTCTGGTTACAAGGCGAGCTCGTAGACCACTAGGTCACTTGAACTCGATCTAATGGCCAGTCCAGGAATTCCAACTTCTGCCAATTCATGACTTAGCGCGACCACTAGCCATTGTCATCGGTGGTGAGTATTTGTCCTCACACCCGACCTGCTGTACCCTACTGGTCACGACTTCTCACTAGAACCTCAGGTAACTGCCTACCCGAACACAACCGGTCGCTGTTGAGCACCTTATTACAACAAGAATTATTTCCGACGGTTTGTTTTAATTTAGTAATTCTGTCTAGCATGGTTACGAAATTGATCAATGTAGTTCTTGAAATTTTGATGTATTCAATCCAAAGTGATGTTTGTGTAGTTAGTGGTTGTTAGTTGACTCAGATAAGAAAATAATTATCAGTTGCATAATACTTAGCTTTATATGTCATGTTATTTAACAACATCATATTCACTTTTCTTCGAGTGCTTGCATATTACTCTTATTGCACTATTCATTGACCTTTGACCCCCAATTAACTATGAAGTGATCTGTGCTTTTGTCCAATGTTCGTGTTATATTGATCTCTCTGTCTCTCTTACAGTAATCTTTTGATAGAATGTAACAGTTGTGTAGTTCACTTTGTTTTATGAGTATAGAAAAAACAGCAAGTCATATCTAAATCACCGAATAAACTTACTGATGCTCACTAGTGACGACTGGCTACACGACGAAGTTTACTGAAGTTCTAGCCGGAGGTCGTCACCAGCGGGATCCGCTAGGTCACCGGCGATGAGGAATACTCGCCGATGACATTGGTTAGTGGTCGCGCTAAAATTACGAATTCGTTGGAGTTGGAATTCATGAGCTGAACATTGAGTTGGGTACCAATGGCTAAATGATCTACGAGCTTGGCTTGTACTTCCGATGAGTCCTGAGCTAGGACGAGACAGCGGACTGTTCAGTACTCCCTGGTTTTCAATGGTTCTCTAACTGATATCAGTTTGTGGTCAAGCTTGGAATACACCTACATCATAAAAATCAATTTCAACCATGACATTTGGTATTTGCCACCGTGAAGGCCCTGTCATTTCGTAAGCACCATAGACCTATGACACTGATATTGACTGCCTTTCAATTTTGGTTGAGTTCTGCTCATTTCTATCAATCACACTGTGCTATGCAATTTACTCATTTTTATTTTAGTTTCTACCTGAATAACGCTTCCTATATTATGTGATTTGTCATCTAAAATGTACAATTCTGAAGACACCTTTGGAAATATTCCTTTTGTTGCTACGACAATTTACTATATATATATATGTATATATATATATATGCGATTGTACAGCTTGATAATTATATTGCTGAAGAGAGTTTGTGGAAAATTGACTTCCTGAAACAGAAAGCACCCAGTTATGTAGAGCAACCTGGCTACATTCTACTTGTTTAGTGATGCTAACAAAATGCAGTCTTCTGAACACTTTGACAAAATGATAGTTATGTTTGGAATGCTGTTAGCATCTGTCAAATTTAACATGATGCTTCTTCGTTGCACAATACTACTAATTTCTTATCCTATTATTTAGGTACCGACTTTTGTCAGTAGATTAGCAGAAACTACTATTTGAAGTCGCGATGCCATATTCTATGAAATCGTTTTATTTACCTATGCGAATCAGTCACTTGATGTGATAAGCAACACATCTGTCAAGTTTTAAGAGTTTATCGAAATCTGCTAGTCAGCTTTAAGCAGGAGTAGTGTAATATTCGATAATGAGAAAAAGTCCATCACAATAAAGCATGGAAGAGACTAGTTATCATCATTTTCGTCGTCCATCACCGAGAATTAGACTGCAAACAAATACTAGGATTAATGTTATTCTGGTAGCATAGTCTAGAGCACCGAATCACACACGTAGTTCGCTTGTACAGAGAGTAATTTGTGGCTTGATTTAGTGGCAGTGTGGCGGACGAGGTTTATAAGTGGTATATAGATGCAGAATGATAGGAAGCGGCTAAAATTGAAGTCAACCTCGACTGCTGACTGCCGACGTAGAAGTGTGTATTCCTCAAACCTGGACTTAGTTTACGTTGTGGACATGAAATAATCTCATTGGACAACTTTTTATCTCATTGTTTAAACTTGCGCCAATCGCCAACTAATCGTTCCACCAGTATCTTGCATGTCTTCTTATCACCTGCCCTCTGTACACTGTCGTACTCCGCCTTTGTCCTACCCCTCAGCAGCGTCTCCAGCACAACTGTCTTCTCCATCGGGTCCTCGACGCTCACCAACTCACTGACAGCATCGAAGTCCCACAAGAAGCTCCGTATGTTTCATATTTCGTAAACAACAGGCCATGGGATCTTCATTCTCCGAAGTTAGTAACGTAAAGCAGAAGATAACAGAATTGGTAATAAACCTTTATTAAGGAAAAATACATCATATTTATATATATTTTAGCCACAATAAAAATCGGCTAGTTCTGTGGACAATAAATTGTTCTGACCGGTTGGCTGTTGATCCAAACTTAAACAAGCAGACTATTTCATGTCCATTTCATGTAAACTAGATCCGGATTTGCGGAATATACACTTCTATCTCAGCAGTCAGCAGCCGAGGTTGACTTAAAATGTTGACTGCAACTTTGGTCGCTTCCGTTAATATGCGTCTCATCCACCACCACAATCAATATAGGTGGTTTGTCACTTCAGTGTAACGCAAATTCGGATTCCCGAGAGGAACAGACGATGATGATGGCTGTAGTGTGACATTTTTATCACTTAATATCCCTTCGTGTGTGTGTTTGTGTGTGTAGTAATCGGACACTGGAAAGCCCGGACTATATAACACGAAGCAGACAGAAGTCGGAAATTTCATATTCAACAAATTTTTTACTTTGTAACATGTATATTTAGTACAAAATGAAAACAAACAGTAATCAATATTTTACGTAACGTAGTCATTGAAAAATGGCTATTCATCACAATCGATCACACTGTTGTCTACTTTGCTATTTAACTACTGATAAAAGGTGAATGAATTAGTGCATAAAAAAAATTTTAAAACCACGTCTATTTCCTTAAAATAAAAGTCTGTTTCATTCTTATTATAATTTTTAATTTCTCCAATATTTAAGGTGTAAAGTCTAGTTTACAAGATAAATGCTATTGTACTTCATCGTCTCCAATACATAACAATGGATCAGTTGATGGATTGACTCGGACGTCATCACCATGCAGAGTAAATGGAAAAGTTTCCTCTGATGTTGACTGTTTTTCGTTAACACTTGCTGCTGAAGCAGCTGAAGCCCTGATATCTCCTCGTACACAACAGAATGAAGCACAGGTTCGACGTCGTCGTAGTCGAGCTACTATTGCCTCACGTAGAAAATCGCATACGGAAGTGAGTTGAGTTTATCGTTTTTGTGTTATCTAGTTTACAAATCATTTAACTATTTCAATGTATTTTTTTACTGAACCTACTGCTCAACACATATGCAGAAGAGAATGAGGGGTTGGGGATCGGATACAGAGTGAGGAGACCGACTGTCGAATGCCATCTTGCTTCAGGCGCTCGCTTGAGTGGAACCCGAATGGGAAGCAACGAATTGGGCGTGTATCCGAGGATGACATGGAGGAGATGAGAGACAGTGGGCAATCATGAGGCCGGCTAAAGAGAGAGGACCTCAGAGAATACGACAAATTCGGGATTTTCTGTTGAAGCCCTACTTTTCACTCGGAACCCAGGGGAAAAATAATGATAAAAACACACACTTATATTAGTCTGCTTGTGTGCTTTCCCTCCTCTTTATCAGTCAGCTTCGAAATGAGGTGGAAAATTTAGTGCACGACTTGTAGTCAGGATGCATATATAAACGATGGAAAATATGGAATTACTTAAGAGTTCTAAAGAAATACCAGAGTTTTTAAGGGATTAGAAAAATAGGCGAACAAAAATCAAGTTAGTAGAAATCAATAAGATTGGTACCATGAATAATTTGAATGATTTTCTCTATCTGAATGGCTACAGCTTCAGCACTGCAAAAGCGACGAAAACTTATTACCTTTGGCAGGTTGTTCTTCACTTTGTAATTAACTTTAAAGGAGGTGATTATTGAGATGGAATGACCAGTGTTCACAAGGGGTTTGATTATCGCATTTCTTTCAGGAGAGCCACTGCTGCCTTTCTGCAGTCATGTAGGATAGTGTTCTTGAACCCTTTTAGACAGGATACACATTGAACGACCAATATACCTGTCTTACCAGGGACAGGTCAGTTGATATATGCACATAGAAGTGGTCAGATGGGAACCGTTGATCTTAAGGCTTCTGCAGACCAGTGGATCACTGGGGAACACTACTTTTAGCGTTGATGTAAAGAATGTTCTTCTCAAAGATGCTGAAATTCTTCTCTCAAGCATATCGCGGGTTAGGTCTTCCTTGAAATCAGGGTTCATGTAAAGTTTCTTTCTCGAAACTTTTTTTTATTTGATATTCCTGTCAATAAATCGTGGTAGATATCCACTTTGAATGCAGGGGAAGATTATTTCATCGGAAAGAACCTCTTTGTTGAACTGCATGTTTTGTTTTCATTCTCCTCTGGATGGGGGATTATTCATGAATTGAAAAGTAACAAGGATCTGTCTTTCAGACGAAAAAGATAACTAAGTCTATAATTATTCAAACCTTAGGGCTGATACTGTCTGTCTGTATTCGACAAAGAACTTTGCACCGATGTGCGGCAGTTCGAGTCGCCACACTCCATGTAGCACACAAAGAAAGAGAAGAAAGTAGGAGAAATGCATAATATAGACAGTAAACAGAGGTGTGAGACCAAGGAATAGTAATAACGGAGAACAAAACAGTTTCATTGGAAATCATAAGTCACAAGAAGTGGATGCATCTGCAACAGCCATTGAGAACGATTTTGAGCCATGTCACCAATTGTTTCCAACCATTGGTTTTTACTGTCCCGAGGACCCCAACCAGGAAGTCTACACCTTCCTACGTGGCGTAGACTAACTGTTGTAGATTTCATTGACTGGTGTCATGTTTTCGTTTGACCGCCGCTAGCTCTTTTCCAGCCTGACCCTACATCAGCTAACATTGTCCGTCGAGGAAGGCGATGACTAGGCATACGTAACACGTGTCCTAACCATCTCAGTCGATGTAATTCCACAGCCTCGTCGATTGATTTCCCTTTCTTACCTAGCCTAGAACTCGACCGATGCCTAACCTCAATATTGCTCACCTTATTATACCACTTCACACTGGAGATAGAACACGGGCACCTGTGATGAAAGACAGCTAGTCTTTTCATGTCTTCCACTCTCAATGGCCAGGTCTCACAGCCAGCCATAAAGGAGGCCGGAGCGGACTGATGAGCAGTACACCCGCCCTTTGGTCGATAGCTGGATAACACCTCTACGCCAGAGACGGCGTAAACTTCCCAAATAGGGCTGATACGTGATCACATTAATCGACAAAATGTTTTTTTCTTCTTCAGGTAGACTTATCTCCTAATCCGAATGAGCTGGGTTTATATTTTATAATATCTTTTTGCGCTTAAGACTTTATTCCCCTTGTAACCTGACCTTCAGTTTGCTGGTTAAGTCAATTATCTGCTCTATTTATAAGTGGTGAATCTGTAGGCAAACGCAAAATTATGTTCATTAGTTGTTTATTGACCGTACTTATTAAACAACTGATCAGTAGAACTTGATATGTGTATGTAGAAAGAAACGCCTTATTGGTAGTGGTGGTCATATTTTCATGTTTATCCTGTCGTAATTTATCATTTTCGATTTGATACACACACACACACACACGTGTATACTCATATATTTGTTCAATTTTTTTCCTATACATCTTTAGGTGATTGTCCCTCATTCTACACCTCACACTGAAGTATGTTCTAGTCCAAACAACTATTGCTCATCTCCAAAACTAGTAATATCTAAAGAGCAAAGTATTAAAGTTCATCTGTGTGAACCAGTTGTCTCTAAAGTTGATTCGTCTGTTGCCGTAACGTCTAAAGTAAGCCTATCGTTGTGTAAATTTTTTTATTTTCTAATAATACTTTGTATATTTATGCCATCCATCCTTTGGTTTGTACGCACTCCACATTTGATTTATGTTGAGCAGAGCATTTAAATGAAACCTTTTCACATAAAGCCTCTCGTTGACTTGTTACCAGGGTATGAATAATCTCGTTGACTTAGAATATGCAGATGATGTAGTCCTTCTAGATGAAGACGCTGACAAAATGCAGAGTTTTCTGAAAACCTTGAGCAGCAATCTTCGAATGTTCGGCAAGAGATTTGCTCCCGTCAAATGTAAGATGATGCTACAGGACTGGACTACATTGACTCATGCCTAGAATAAAGATAGGGAGTGAAGTAGTGCCTGAGCGTGTTGACCGCTTCATTTATTGAGGAATTTGCATCAGCCAACGCCACTGTGTTGATCGCTGACGAAATCTCAGCACAGATAGAGAAGACCTATTTCGCATATGCCAGTTTACGCTGTCTCTGGCACAGACGTGATATCCGGCTGAATGTAGACCAAGGAACGTGTTGACTGCTCAGCAGTTCGCTCTGTCCTCCTTTATGGCTGGCTGCGAACGAGACATGGTCATTGAAAGTGGAAGATACGAAAAGGCTGGCTAGCTGTCTTTAATCATAGGTGTCTGTGTTCTCTCCCGTGGGAAGTGGAATAATGGGGTGAACAATTAATATATGTGTAAAACTTGGGCACTGTGGTAGTAAGTAATTCCATGTTAGTTTGTTTATTAGGTATATCACACAGTGAAACAGTATCATTTACTGAATGTCGTTTCGAGCAAAATTTATTGTTCATAATCATATCAATTATTCGAAGCGTCATCTAGTAAATGATACTGTTTCACGGGGTGAACAATGTTGAGGTTGTGTGCTAGTCGAGTTCTAGGTTGGTGGGAGGGGAAATCAGTCGACGGGGTTGTGAATTTACACCGATTGAGATGGTTAGGACTTGTGTTACGCATACCTAGCCTAGTCTAGTCTAGCCTAGCCATCGCCTTCCTCGACTGATGGGCGATGTTAGCTGACATAGGATCGACGAGGTTGGGAAAGAGTTAACCAGTGGTAATCAAACCAAAACGTGGCATGAGTCAATCAAATCTTGGACAGTTAGTTTCACCCACATACGGAGGTGTAAACTTCCTGGTTGGGTTCCTTGGGATTGTAAAAACCAATGAAGGCCGGAGACAATTTCTGATATAGCTAAAAATCGTTCTCAATGGCTGGCGCGGATGCCTCCACTCCTTGTGACCTATAATATCCAATAAAACTACCTTGTTCTTCCATGTTACTATTCTTTTGCCTCATATTTTTGTTTTGAATCTCTTTTTACTTTCTCCCCTTACTTTGTGTGCCACATGGAGGGCGAGTGGCGACTTGAACTGCTGCAAATCGGTGAAAAGTTCTACACTGAAACCAGTCAGTCAATTTCTAAGTTAAGAGTCAATGGTACAAGTTCGACTTGCCATACTCCGTGTTGCACACAAAGGGAGAAAACAGAGATGCAGAAGAACGACAATAAGCAGAAATGTGGGAGAGAAAGAATAGTAGCATGGATAAAACAATAGGGTTTAATGAATATGAGAGATCACAAAGAGTGGATGCATCTGCGCCATTGACAATGATTTTGAGTCATATCACCAACTGTCTCCAGCCACTGGTTCTTAGAATCCCGAGGAGCTCAACCAGCCAAGCAGTCTATTACAGCTCTCTAAGTGTGGCTGGCTCAAAATAACTGTCAAAGATTGCATGATGTGTAAAACTAGTATCATAAAACCATATAACCTTCTCCTTTTGCTTCTTTGCATGTTATTATATGCTCTTTTACGAAATGTCTGTTTTATTTCAGCCCTTGATACAGGAAGAAAAACATTCCAGTTACTTAAATTTGGTAACTCTTGGTAACAGAAGTGTCTCTTGTAAGTTTTGTTGTAAAAAGAAAAATGAAATTTTTTGTGTTCCTTTTTGTTCCTTTGCATTCCGAGTGGAACATATGGCTTCATGGCTGAGCTTTGAAGTTTCAATAGCAGTCACGGTGGTAGAGTTGCCTATCCTCACACCCAACCTTTCCTGTTAACCGAGCGTACTACGGGCGGCTGAGTGTGAGGTTTAGGAGTGCGTCGGCCGGAGATCAGATCCCGAACCAAGTGAGGAGGCCTGGTTGGCGAGTATTCTATCACCGAACCACATGTTATTAATGAATAAATAAAAAAATCTTTTCCAGGCTTTTTCTTTGAAGCTACTGTCAGATTTTCAGTAGAAAGGGAACTGATTGTACGGTAGCCTTTTTTACTCAGTGTCTTAAAAGGTATGGAGAGCAGCAAAAACACTCTTCTTAAGCACCATACTTTCATGTGTACTATTTTTGTTCAGAAATTGACAGATTAAATGTAGCAGTACTGGTGTGGCGTGATAAGAGGTGGCTAAAATTGAAATCAATACGTTAAGTCAATGGCTGCTGACTGCCGAGGTAGAAGTGTTTATTCCTCAAATTTGGATCAAGCCTACTTTGTAGACATGGAATAGTCTCTTTGGACAACTTGTTGCTTAACCTTGGGCCAATCGACAACTATTCAGAACAGTTAATTCTCATCTGACCTAACCGAACTTTTAATGTGACTAAGAATGTAGGAGTATGATGTTTTTCTTTCATTATTATTATTATTATTATTCCCTTGGGTTCCTAGTAGAACATAGGGCTTCGACTTCACGTCTCCACTTGCTTCTGTCTTCTGCTGTACTTTTCACTTGCATCCATGTTAATCCATACTGTTTCAGTTTCTCATCACACGATCTCCTCCATGTCACCCTTGCGCTGACGTCCCACTCGCCACTTCCCTTTCAGGTTCCACTCGAGCAATGGCCTGACGCGCGATGTCACCCAGCCGCCTCCTCAGCGAGTGTCCAATCCATCTCCACTTTCTCCTGCATACTTGTTGTTGGGCGATTGGTTCTTGTTTCGTTTGTTCCCATAGTTTCTTGTTGGTGATTCTTTCCGGCCATCTGATCTTCAGTGTAGAACGAAGACAGCTGTTGTTGATAAAGGTCTGCAACAGGCTGTTGGAAATATTCTTTGTGACCCGCCGCCAAGTTTCTGATCCGTATAGAAGAACTGACTGACTTGACATTTGTATTGAAAATCCGAATTTTGTTGTTGATGCAGGCTGAGTGACAGCGGAAGATTTCCAGATTGGTTGTTTCAGGTTGATGAATGTGTTTCACGCCTTCCCGATTCTCGATTTGACATCCTCGTCCGTTCCTCCTGTAGTTGAGACAATGCTCCCTAGATAAGTGAATGAAGTAACCTCTTTCAAATCTTTCTTTCATAGAGATCAGTTATTATGTCTTTTATCTCCTCCTGTTACAGTAGCTCCTTCTGATATTTTATCTCACGATATTTATTTTCCAAAAGAATAAATTACTTCCCTGTTTTAATTGATGAAATGATGGCTGTCTCTCTCCCTTTCTCAAACACTTTGGTTCACTAGCCGGTCGAAAACAAACCGTAAGATATATTCAGACGGTCCTCATTCATCTCAGTAAAGACGTGTGGATTACATAGTTAGGGTCTAATTTGACACCTTTTGTCTGATATTGCTCAAATTCTTTCCTAATGACACAAGTGTACTGACTTCTTATCATATTCTGATTGTACTTTTGGCATCCTCCTCCGTGTCGCCTGCAGTTGAAATGACTCTTCTTAGATAATTGACAGTGATTGGTGCTTGTTGTTGCTCGTGTTTGCTCGGTTATCTTCATCACCTAGGTTTTCTTTATGCTTACTTGAATTCCCTTCTTCGTTGGCTGCTTCTTCTGCCATCTTTTGAGTTTGCGTCTGTAAGTCTTCAAATTTATGTGACATTAGACATGAATCATGTGGGAATTCCACATCTTATAGAGTCAGTCTTCTTATCCGTGGTCTAGTGTATTCCTGCCTTCTCGCTCCTGAAGCCCAGTATGTTGCATAATTCAGTGCATCGCAAATAGAACTATCATAGGTGATAATAAACAGTCTTGTCTTACTCCTGTTTTTTTAAGCAAAACTCATTTCACCCTTCTATTTCATCATAAGCGTTAAACCCTTACTGCACTCTAAAATGTCTTCACTCCACATACTTCACTTGCAAGTGATGGCATTAGTAACTATGTCAAGTAGAATTGTGGGACATAAAAATTTAACTAGACCTAGAATAATTGGCCCAGCTAAGTTAAGTTGTGGTGAGAGCTGTCTACTAGCCAAATTGGCAGACATTAATTTACGTCAATGTTTACGTTCTCAAGATTTGTCGTGAGAATATGTGAACAAAGATTGATTCAAAACCGACCAGAGCAGACTTTGCGTAGGCGGATACAGTTAACATATAGATGATCTGACATTCAAGAAACAGTCACAAATAGATGAAAGATTAACTTTACGTGAGAAACAACCACTCAGAAGACTGTGTTATTTGCTTAACTAAACTATAATAATGTACATGAAAATATATAAATATGCTTTGATTTCCTTAATAAACGATCTGTTGCCTGTGTCTTGTCTTCTGTTGTTACAGTATTACTTCCCCCAATTCATATGTTATTTTGGTTAATTAAGACAACTTTTTTTTAAAAAGGACTTTAGTTCTCAGGATTCTAGAATATTTTTCAAGTAATACTACTGTCTTTTTAAGTATGTGTTGTTGATACTTAGTTAATTGTTGATTTATTGCCTTTGTTTGATGTGATTGATGGTGAATAGATGATGCAGCTGATCTTTCAATGATTTGTGAAGATGACATACTTGCCCTGATTTCATCAATACGTTGGGATGCACTTCCGCTTATCGGATTATTATCACGTCTAGAGGGAAATTCTGTATTCGAGGCGGTTGAATCGAAGTATGTAAGAAATTGTGAAAATCAACTCTCTGTACAACTGGAAGATGAACGTCGACAACTGGATATTGATAAGAGTTATCTTACGGTATTATTTTATTTTATTTATTTAAATATATATATATATAATTTTCAAGTATTGATTTTTTAGGGATTTTGTTTGATTGGATGGAGGTGTTCATCATGAGCTGACATCATTTAGAGAACCACTAGAGTACTGGACAGCTGTTTCATCCGCTTAGTTTGGGACCCTTCAGCGGTGCGCACCCACCACAAGGCTGGCGAGCTCGTAGACCATTGAGCCACTGGGACCCTATCCAATGGTCAGCCCATGAATTCTAACTTCTGCCAATTCACGACATAGCGCGACCATTTCACAATGTCTTCTTCGATGAGTTACTGCCTCATCTTCAACCTGCTGTACCCTCCTACTGGTCACGGCTTCCCACTAGAACCCCAGGTCACTCACTGCCTGAATAGGACCAGTTGCTAGTGGGCCGATTTATTGTTATATTGCTTGCAGACAAATAGTGATTCCATAAAGTATATAGTTGTTGTAAGAAATTCACTTCCATTATGTGATAATAATTATTATTATTAGTTTGTTCCCTTTGGATTGAATCATTTTGTTGCAATAACATTACCGACTTAGTCGCCTATGAAGGAAATATGAGGGGCATGCCTTTTGACCCGACAGATATTCGAAGTATTTTGCTGGAGTGTTTTTTTTTTGTAATGATCTGTGCAACGGAGCCTTATATTCACTAGTGACACAATCTTGATGAATCCAGTGAGATTTACCTGTTGTTTATATTAGATATTTTGTATGTGGATGAAGTTTTCGTAGACAGCTCAAAATGGAACAGTTGATATCAGCGAAGAGACTCTTCTCAACGAATTTATTATTAAGAAATTATCTCCCGTGGGGAAATTTAAATAAGTGAATACGATAAATAATAATAGTAGTATGAAATGTAATTAAAATGTTTGTGATTATAATCGTAGTTAAATATCAAGTAGTAAATAGCAAAACAAATAATGTCATATATAGAATTTGCCGAAATCATTACATATCCATCCGACTCATATCTATAAAACACAAAATAATCAAGCAAAGAATATTCTTTTCGATAAATTCCTCTTCCGGCTCTACAAATATATATACATGTTTATATACATGGAATATACTAGAATAGTAGTCAATAACAATATTAGTGTTTTTCTAAAATAATATCGATTTGCAAAGTAAGATCAATGCAATTACAGTTCATTAAAGATGCTTAAATCATAATAATAATAATAAAGATATAGTAGCGAATAGAATATCAACTAAAATTAGGAAAACTCCACAAAAATTCAGAATCATTCAAACCTAGATGGCCAAGGTAAGGATAATGTCTGAACTAGTTTCTTTTGGACGCATAAATTAAGCTTCTTTATATGGATCCCCACAGCCTCAGCAATGTTTAGTAGTCGAAATCTTAAGGCAAAATTGAGGTTCGTAGGTATGTGGTAAATGACCGTGAAAGCATGGTTAACATCAATCTTGTGTTCTGTATCCACAAGATGAGATAGAATAGCGCTATATGAATAGAGTTTGTTTGTCCTTTACTTAACCACCACTATGCAAGGTGATGTTCGGAAATCCGACGAGAAACCCGTCTAATTGTACAGCCTATATAAATGGCTCCACAGGAGCAGTTAAATTGGTAGATACACATGGATGAGGCGACTCATATCTGTAGCTGAAGCTTTGGCCATCGAAACAGAAAAGCCAGATCTCTGTGTACAGAAAAAGTTCGTCCACCTTCTCCCCCCCACCCCAACTTTCATGGTCTTAATCCCTCTGTGCTAAAGTATGGTAATCCCTTGTCATAGTTTGGCCCTACCTGTTTTTTCGTTTTCTTTTTTCAATTTGTGTACTCTTCCTTTATTACGTCAATTGTTTTTTTTATTCCTTTACGTTCCCCAGTGGAACATAGGGCTTCCAGCTCGAGGTTTGAAGTATCGGTAGCAGTGGTGTTTTTTTTTACGGGACGGGGTTGCTAGCCAGCCTCATATCCAACCTTCGCTCTTTTACCTGTCTTATTACTGGCTTAGCGAGGTTTGGGAGTGCGTCGGCAGCCGGGTTCGAACCCCGAATCACATGCTTGGTTGCTGAGCGTTCTACCTCTGTGCCACCGACGCACGTCAATTCTTACTATTGATATTCTTACTTTGAATTGTCCCCGCTAATATTTCGCTTGCTCCACTTGTCATTCTAAGTCAGTTTTGTTTTGCAACATTAAATTCTATGCTATGAAATTTCACACAATGTTACTTAACGTTTTTATTCTTATTCTATTTGCCTAATAATCCTATAATTTCACACCCCTTCCAAGTTCTGTACTTCTTCAGGAATTGTTCTATATATGACATTAATTGTTTTGCCATTTCATATATAGAATAGTTCATAGAATGTATAGAAGTGGAGGGGGTGTGTAAATTCATGGGATTAGTAGGCAAGTGAAAACTAAATGTTACATAACCTGGTTTGTATATGAATTAGATAAAGTTCAGCATTGCCAATGATATGTGAAATAATACTGGAAACAGTTCAAAGTTGGAATAGTAATAGTAATGAGGGAAAGGTACATAGATTAACTTAATATAAAAATGAAGAATTTTAGAAGAATGTTTATCCTTCTACATCCAAGGTAGAAATGGGGACTGTGCATACTTCTCTTCTACACAAAGGTCTGATTTGAATCCATGAATGGCCAAAGCCTTCTCTGTCTTTAGAAGTGTTAGCCGCGAAGAAAAAGCAGCAAGTTCCGATAATTTTATCTTAGGATTTGTTTACTTTAAAACCCAGTCGATCAATCCGTTTACAAGTTTAACCATGGATTTATATCAGTTAGAGGACCATTAAAATTCAACAGGGAGTACTGGATAGATGTTTTATCCCACTTTGGGACTCATCGGAAGTAAGCACCCACTCGGTGTTTGGACCCAGGACATCTTCCGGCTATGAGTCAAGCTCTTAGACTCTTCATCCATTGGCACTCGATCCAATGACCCATGAATTCCAACTTCTATGAATTCGTGATTTCAGTGCAACCACCAGCCAGTGTTATCGGGGAGTATTTGTCCTCACACCCGACCTGATGAATCACAGTAATCACAACTTTGCATCACAAACTCCAGGTAACCAGTCACCAGCGAGCATGCTGATGAAGAGTCTCAAGTACTACGACGAAATAGCTGTCCAGTACTCCGTGTTGGTGTTCAATGGTTCTCTAACTGATATCAATCCGCGATCAAATTTGAAACAAATGTAATCCCTACAAACTAACCCGTTGAAAAAACTCTTCTCCGGTCTTTACAGTTATGAAATAATATTTATTATCATTATAATAATATCTAGGTATGCGGTGGATAGATTTTAACGTAGAATGTATATATGTGCTTAAAGTCACATTGTTTTCAAGTTGTAGGCTGACCAACGTGGTGAGTCGCTGACCATTACAAAATAATATTGGACTAGACGAAGATAGTTGTTAGTCATATTAAATTCATAGAATTAGTTCAATTGTTTTAAAATGTGTTTGGTTTGTGACCAGTACGAAGGTAGTAAGCATTAAACAATGGTGCAGAGCTCATCATGAAATAACCAACATGTAAACTGAATGAATCTGGTTTATACTAATGAGAATAGTAATAATATAACCGATAATAATAAATAATAATAGCTTGTTATTGTCCATATGTATGAAAACTTCGACAAATTGTTTAAAAGATGTTAGAATAAAGATTTTAAAAAAAGTAAGAGAAACCTCTGAAAAGTGGGATTATGTTCAGTCTATTGATGTTCAAGGGAGGAACAACACTGGAACGTCTTCGTTCCGATTACGAACTTCTCTATGCATTCCTTGTGTTCCCATGAAGAAGCATAGTGCTTTAATCTTTCAAGTTTCAGTAATAATGATGCTGTTTTCACGGGTCGGGGTCACTAGCCTCAGGCCCAACCTTCTCTCAGCTTATTTACCGGTCAGTAAACTTCTGGCAATGGAACCGGGACATCCCGCAGGGCTGACAAGCATTCTGCCACTGACACACTGATACTAGATCTTATTGCCGAGTGCTAGTTCGTCAGGGATTTGATTAGTTACAGGTTTGATCATGGATTGATATCAGTCAGAGAACCATTGTAAACCAATCGGGGGGTACTGGACAGCCGATTCGTCCTAGTTTCAGACGCTTCATCAGTACCTACTCACTGGTAACCTTCCGGTTACAAGGTGAGCTCGGCCTTTTGTAATTCTGTGGGCATTAGATTGAGTACCAGTGGCTGAATGGTCTAAAAGCTCGCCTTGTAATCAGTAGATCCTGGGTTCGAACCCCGGTGAGTAGGTAGGTACTGACGAAGAGTCGCAAACTAGAATGAAACAGCTGTTCAGAACCTCGAGATCTTATTACCACAGCTTCAAATATGTGTAGAAAATGTAGACTAGCTATACGTGATAGCTACTGTGGCGTGATGTATCTAACACCAAAGGTCGTATTTAGGGTCTTTGTAATATTCTTTGTCTATAACATGTGTCAGAATTGAGCTCTTATAAGTACAAAATAGTCTTTGTTTGAACCAGGCTAACAAGTGTTGTCAAATCCATAGACGTACCTGCCTATATTTGTTAACCCTTTTTAACTTGTTCCATTGGAATAGTTAAAACAGCATATGCTTGTGGAAGATAAGATAGGAATAGACAGCTGCATTATCATGCGAGATTGTTTTGTTTATAAACGGTCCAATTCCTTTATTAGCTACTACTATCAACTATACGTATTATTGGTAGTCTCATACAGTTATTTTTTTTTTTTTTAAATTTTCCATTTGTATGTATGTATAGCATTTCGATAAGCGCCTTACTCATTGGACTAATACAATGGAAACATTACGTTCTCAGGCGTTGATGATTTCCTCACCGAACAAGGTAATAAATGCAGAAACGGAATTAAACACTACTACTTTATCTGTTACTGTCAATACCTTCAGTGATTGGTTATCAGCTCTCAAAGCAAGGTAAGAATGAAAATGTGGGTTTGCTTTCTACTAACCCTTTATTGCGTCACTAAGTTTTATTCGTGCGTTGAAGTTTTTGTAGCAGTTTGGTTAAGTTTTGGGAGTGGAGTTGCTAGCACCACTCCCCAACCCTCCCTCTTTATCCGGGCTTGGGACCGGCTAGAAAACTAGTAGGCTAGTAATCTAGGCGAGTCTTCGATTTCGCGGATGATTTATGTTTGATGTCACACAAAATCGAAGACTTACAAGCGAAAACAGACAAAATGGTCGAAGAAGCAGCAAAGACAGGACTTCAGGTGAACATAGACAAGACGGAGATTATGAAAATAACCAACCAACAACAACAACAGCAGCAGTGACATCCAGTGCCAATCACCATCAACGGGAGGGATTTAAAAGAGGTTACTTCATTCACTTATCTAGGGAGCATTGTTTCAACCACAGGAGGACGAACGGACGAGGATGTCAAATCGAGAATCGGGAAGGTGAGAAACACATTCATCAACCTGAAACCAATCTGGAAATCTTCGTCACTCCTCAACATCAACAACAAAATGATTCGGATTTTCAATACAAACGTGAAGTCAGTTTTGCTATACGGATCAGAAACTTGGCGGGTCACAAAGAATATTTGCAACAGGTTTCAGACCTTTATCAACAACTGTCTTCGCTCTATACTGAAGATCAGTTGGCCGGAAAGAATCACCAAGAAGAAACTATGGGAACAAAGAAAACAAGAACCAATCGCCTAACAAATATGCAGGAGAAAGTGAAGATGGATTGGATACTCACTGAGCTGAGGAGGCCGCTGGGTGACATCGCACGTCAGGCCAATGCTCGAGTGGAACCCGAAAGGGAAGCGGCGAGTGGGACGTCCAAGGGTGACATGGAAGAGATCGTGTGAAGAAGAGTTGAAACAGTATGGACTAACATGGATGCAAGTGAAAAGTACAGCAGAAGACAGAAACAAGTGGAGACGTGCTGTTGAAGCCCTATGTTCCACTAGTAACCCAAGGGAACAACAATAATAATAAGTTTTATTCGTCTATAACTCATGTATTTTGTCTAACTGATGGTGACGCTGTCTGCGAGAGCTTTGAAAATTGACCGAACGACTGTTGATAAAATGACTGGTAATCAAAAGTGAAGTGAACACCCGAGTCATCATGACTGGTTTCGAAACCACTTGCCCCAGGATTACTACTAGTTCAAAAATCTGTCAGCAGAGATACTTTATCCATCTACTAATCAGAAGGTCGTCATTTCATAGCAGTTATGTTAACGACTCATCATAGAAATCGAAATACTTTGATTGATTGATTAATCGATTATCGGTCAAGTTTGGAATGTGACCACCATGTTACGTGGCTTGCCATCACAGTGTGTACTGAATTATTGTTGTTATTAGATATTCGGAGGCAATCGGTAGGAAGCCAAGTCTGACCTAAGTTTTGTGCTTTCTGACTCCCATCATTCAGCAAAGAGTACTTGCAATCTTCAAGGAAATCATGTCCTTTCTGGAATTCCAACCTGAAAAGCTCAGTGTTGACGTCTCTCCCTGTCGTGTTTGAATCTCAGAGGGGGACATGAGTTCCTTCAAGATTACAGATACGCCTTTCTGACTAACGAGTGCCAACAAGCACGAAATGTAGGCAGAGGGCTTCCTTCCTACCGATTGCCTTCTACCATCTAATAATTGTATAACTTATCTAATATATGGAATTCAGGATATATTATCACCAGTCTTCATCTAACTATCTTCCTTCTTATTTTGATTTTGTACACTCATGTTTGCACATTTACAGTCTTTTGTGTGTGTGTGTGTGTGTGCGTTTCATCTAAGAATGCAGTGATTTGAACTAGTACGAGTTTTTACATTTGTCTACGTTTTTCTAATTGTATGTGCTCTAATCGGCTTTGTTTTCTAGACTGTGTATAATCTATCTATCTATCTCTCTTGCATCATAATCTTTACTTTCTAACTCTTTGTCTTATCCTTTTTTAACCTCATTTTGAGAGACTGTGTCCATCGTGTGTACTAAAAATTTACCTAGGCTTGTACGGTGCAATATATGTATATATATATATATATGGATGGCTGACTGTGTAAGTGATTAGCATAATAAATTTATTCTTCGTTCGTCTCTGTATTTTCTCTTTTCTATTGGCGTATTTTGAGTTTTTAGTCTTCACCTTGTAGTCTAGATTTCTCAACTTGCAGTTGCTAAAATTATTATTATTAAGTCGACATGAGTTTCTAATTTTCGGACTGTCCTACCTACTTCTTATAGGCTTTATTCTTAAATATATATATATATATATATATATATATATATATACCTACTACACATCAGTACAGATTGTGAATGAATAAATAAACAAATAAATTAAAGGTTTTTTTAAAAACTTCTTATCACATAAATTACATGAGATACTTTTTCCACTGACTATCGATTTCACTTTTTGAAAATAACATCATGAACTGTTTGTTGGAGAAAACTGAAAATCACATGTAATATGAATACATTAAGGATTGATGACTGACTGACTGACTAACTGGCTGCGTAGACGTGATATCCTCCTCCGGTTGGTTACCGATTAAAAAGAATGTGTGTACTGTACAGGAGCAGTTCGCTTTGTCGTCCGTCCTTCATGCATGGCTATTGAAAGTAGTGGAAAACATAATGAAACCATCTTTGACCTTAAATATCTCCGTTCTATCTACTATGTTAGGCGGTATGTATAATAAGGTGCGTTACATTGAAGCTAGTCGTGTTGAGTGTTAATTAGCTAAAGATGAGACTGTCAATCGATCAGGTTGTGGGGCTAGGTCTAGCTAGCCATCGCCTACTTTGATGAATAATGTTAGCTGACATAGGATCGATCAGGTGGGAAAAGAACTGCTAGAGGAATCAGTCCATGAAATGTGCAACAGTTTGTTTGAGCCACGTAGAGAGATATGGACTGCTTGTCTGGTTGGGGCGGGTACTCGGGATATTGAGGACCCATTGGCCGGAGACTAATGGAGATATGACTCGCAATTGTTCTTAGTAATGGTGCAGATGTATTCACCCTAATGTTTTTCCATGATAGTGTTTTTTCTTCCTTAGTGTGACAACTCGAACAGATGTACTTTTGTGCAGAAAAGGGCTTATTTAGTATATAAAACTATATTGCGCGCCTATATCCCTCTATTATATGATATAAGTATTTCATTTTATGACCAGTATTAAGAAATAGCGTCGAAAACTGAATGGTAGTTGTAATGGACGGCCGGGGGGGGGGTGAGCAGGTGCATTATGACTGAGTGACCATATGACTGATCGAGTGGAGGCGAACACTAGTGTGACTATGACTCATAATCGAAATAATTGATGATGATATGATGCTTATTTAAATATATTGATTTAGTGAGAATTATCATTATTATTATCATCACTGTTTCCTTAGATTCCTGTATGGAACATACGGCGTCAACAGCACATCTCCACTTCATCTTGTTCTCTGCAGTCTTCTTTGGGTTACTGCACGCGTGCTCATTAGCCTTAGTCTCCTCCTCACACGATCTCCTCCATGACACCTTCAAACGCATGTCCAACTCTCCGTCTTCCATTCTAGTTCCGCTTGAGTATCCTCCTGGTGTGTGATGTCACTCAATGGTATCCTCAGCGCGTATCCAATTCATCTTCGTTTCCTTCGGAGTATTTGTTGGGGGTTTCTTTTTGCAACAAACAACAATCAGCATAAATGGGAGGAACCTGAAAGAAACAACCTCCTTTATCTACCAACCTGGAAGCATCGTTCCAACTACAGGCGGAACTGACGAGGATATCAAAGCAAGGATCGGAAAAGCAAGATAAGCTTTCATTTCTCTCAAATCTGTGTGGAGGTCAACAGCACTCAGCACGGAAATGAAAATAAGATCCGGATTTCAACTCTAGTGTGAAGTCAGTCAGTGCTACTATACGGATGGATCAGAGACTTGGCGCGTCATAAAGAGCATCTCAAATAAACTACAGACCTTCATTAACAGTTGTCTTCGCTCAATACTCAAGATCAGATGGCTGGCCAGAAAAGATCAGCTACAGGGATCTCTGGCAATGAGCGAACCAACCAGGAACCGATTGTGAAACAAATAGGCAGGAAGAAATGGAGATGGATTGGCCATACTCTGAGAAAACAAACCACCAAGTGACATCACTAGACAAGCCATTGCTCGAGTGGAACCCGAAAGGGAAGCGGCGAGTTGTTCGTCAGTGCAAGGGTTACTTGGAGGAGGTCATGGGAAGAGGAGATGAAAGCGTGTGGGCAGACTTGGAGCCAGGTGAAGACTCTAGCAGAGAACCGAACGCAATGGAGACGCACGGCTGAAGCCCTATGTTCCTGTAGGAATTAAAGGAAATAATAATTCTTTCTGGCCAAGCATCGGATCTTCAGTATGGAGCCAGCGAAGGTGGCAGCTGTTGATGAAAATCTGCAGTCGCCTGTTGGAAACGCTTTTCGTGATGCTTAGACCAACTTTCTGACCCATCCAGAGGAACTGACTGGCTGATTTAGCAATGATGTTGAAAATTCGAATTTTGTTCTTTATGCTGAGTGGAGAATTTCCAAACTAATTTTAATGTGACAAAATCCTTACCTTTTCGACTCTGGCTTTGATATCCTCTTCTGTGATGTGTCGCCTGTAGTTGAAACGATGCTGCTGCCTGGTCAGATAAGTAAAGGAAGTGACTTATTTTCAATTTCTTCCGTTGATAGTGATTGGTGCATGCTGGTGGTGGTCGTTGGTTACTTTCATCACTTCCGTCTTCGTTATGCTCCCTTGAATTTCTGCCTTTGCTGCTGCTACTACTATTTTACAATTATATTTTAGTAGTCACCGTAGAACAAAAATGACTATGTAGCAGCAGCAACAGAACACAATGGGCGCATTTGTTAACGGAATTACTTATTGGCAAGGTACGTGTACAGATATAGGCAAAATACGTCTACTACCACATAGAATAACAATTTGGACGTATATTCGGTATTGTACTTCTTTGTGTCCTTCTTTCGTGTTTTCCGTGTTCATCTCTATATATCCCTTCGCTATTCTTGCAGATGATATACGTATTTATTAAATGGTTGGAGGCAATCGGCCACAGGAAGCCTTGCTTCACCTAGACTTCATGCAAGTTGACACTCACCGGTCAAAAAGGCGTATCTGCAACCTCATTGAAGGAACTCATGTCCCTCCTTCTGAGATTTGAACCGGCGTCACCCAATGCAGTGCTGCAGTCAGAGACGTTACCACTGAGCTGGCTATTCGGGCTCGCGATTGACCTCCTGTAGGACTGTAGTGGACACTTTGATTGGACACTAGCTAGTAACTAGTGTTATGCGTCTAGTGCTTTCTCTGGTGCAGACTGAATTCTATCAGTCAGTCTTTCAAAATGGCCACCATTCCAACCATCTAATATGATCAAACCAATGTGTACCGTGATGGCGAGCTACCTAGTGGCATGGTGGCCACATTGCAAACCTGACTGATAGAATTCAGTCTGTACCAAAGAAAGGACTAGACGCATAACCCTAGTAACTAGCTGGTGTCCAATCAAAGTATACATATTTATATATGTATCTACATGCTACTTATGAGCTTTATCAGTAGTACAAGCCACAACTTTAAAATTTCCGTATCAATTCACATATTACTTTTCCACTTTTTTTCCTCTTATATTCTTATTGTAGACTTACAATGGCCTTTTCGATTTTACAATGGCGTACATCAGTTTTCGATCATTTAGTAGGTCAAAGTCATGATGCTAATCTATCATTGTTGGCAATGAAACAGCGTGTTCATACATCGATACAAAGAGCTCAAGAAACAATAAAATCATGCATAGAATCTTATGATAATAAGTTTACACAATCTTTGAATGCTACTGATGGTGATATCAGGGATGGATCAGATGAATTTCACTGTTGTCTAACTATATCTTCCAGCCAATCACCCAATGAAGTATTAAATACGTTAGAAGAATTACGCGTGAGTAATTATGTTATTCTATCCTTTTGGTGTTATAAGTGATAATCAATAATAGTCTGAAACTGTATAGCAAATCTAAAAATAACTCCATTATGGCTAAGATTTTATTTTGATAAATCACATAGTGAGAATCAATAAAGCAGGAATTAGGGTGGCATTCAAACCTACAAACTCACTCAGGGACAAGCTCTGTAGGCTAAAAGACCCGGTGGACTCAATTAAACAAAATAATATAATTTACAAAATACCTTGCAATGACTGTGAGTTACGTCAACTACATAGGTCAAACTAGTAAGTCGGGGATAGTGAGACTGTCGGGACATAAGAATTTAGCTAATATTTATTTATTTATTTATTTAAACGCATTAAAACTTGGTACAATATGGCACCAAGAAGGATGCGCCACACAATAATAATAAAACAACATAGATGAAAAAAAAGGAAGACAGGAAAAGAAAAAATATATATAAGTAGAGAACGAATAATGAACTTCATCTGGAAGGAAAACACTCATTCTTAACAGGTTCAAACAGTGTTCGTTAACTATCATCGGGAATGGAAGAAAGAAGGAAATCGCAACACATTCGCCATTGATTACGATTCTTGGCCATATCCGATAACGTTTCGAGCCATCGATTTGAGCTATCTCTCAGACCCCAACCAGGGAGTCGTGACACACCAACCGATGCTAATCTAGCACAAATATCCTTCATCCCACGACGCCACGTCATGGGCTGACCACCTCTCCGCCTTTTCCAACCCGTCCCAGGGCTAGCGAACAGAGACCTGTATGGAAGCCTCTGGGGTGACATTCGCAGCACATGTCCAAGCCACCGGAGCCGGTGTTTCCAGATGACGACATTCAATGAATGGTGATCTCCACTGTGTTCAAACACACGTTGCCGAACCTCAGAATTACTCACGCGATGATGCCATCGAACGCAAGCAATCCTGCGGAGACATCGGTTATCGAACACGCAGAGTCGCCTTACATCCTCAGCTCGGAGAGGCCAGGTTTCACAGGCGTAGAGCAGCGCAGCCCGCACCGAAGCACTGTATACCCGACCTTTGACAGCCAGGCTAACGTCGCGACGGCGCCAGAGGTGGCTCAAGTTGATGTATGCCACCCTAGCTTTCATTATACAGTTGGAAATCTCATCCGTCACCCCTCCGCCAGCACTCACACAACTACCTAGGTACACAAACTTATCGACAACTTCAAGCGGTTCACCCGCAAGAGTGAGTGCAGGTACAGGCTCCTGCCAATCTTGTAACAGTACTTTGCACTTAGACGGCGCAAAGCACATACCATACTTACAGACACTGATCGCCAACTGATTGAGTGCGATTTGGGCAGCCTGCATGCTATCGCACAGTAAGACGATATCGTCTGCATACTCGAGGTCGAAAAGTCTATCTCCAGGTAGCAGATCTACACCACCTTCACGCACATCCTTCAGAGCTGACTCCAGAATGTCATCGATGGCAAAGTTAAAGAGAAATGGTGAGATTGGGCAACCCTGTCTAACCCCACTGTTGGTTGGGAACAGTGATGATAGTTGGTTGTATGCCCTCACTCAACCTGAGGTGTTTCTGTATAGGGCTTTCAAGATGTTAACAAATTTCTCAGGTACACCTCTCTCTAACAGACAGTTCCAGAGCACAGTTCTGTCCAACGAATCGAAGGCAGCCCTAATATCAAGAAACACAACGATCGTTGGCCTGCAATAAGTGTGGCGGTGTTCCAACAACTGACGAAGGGTGAACACATGATCAATGCATCCACGACCTGAACGAAACCCAGCCTGCTCTTCGCGAATCAATCCTTCGCGTATTTTGCACAGTCTGCGAAGCATGACAGCAGCCAATATTTTAGACGCAACTGGTAACAGACTGATACCCCTATGGTTGTCACAGGAATTACGTCGACCCTTTTTAAAGATGGGGACGATAATGGCTTCGTTCCACATTGATGGTACGCTCTCTGTCTCCCACACCCTCCTGAACAACCCAGTTAGAGCCATTATGAGAGTCTCGCCACCATCTTTAAAAAGAGCCGGGGGTAATTTGTCTGGGCCGGGCGCCTTATGGCGTTTCAGAACTTGGAGTTCCTTACGGACCTCCGCTTCGGTGGGTGGGTCGGTACTAACCGACCAAGGAGCACTCGGGCTAATGATAGTAGACAATGAAGCTGGTGGCCAGCTGAACTGCTTCCCGAAGTGCTCTGCCCAGCGTTCCAGGCGTCTCTTCAGGCTGGTAATTGGAGTGCCATCTGCCTCACAGACCGTCTCGCTGACACCTTGTTTCTTGCTGCCGGTGGCTCGTATGAGTTGGAACAGCTTCCGACTGTTGCCAGATGCAGCAGCTGACTCCATCTCATACGCACGTTCTGACCACCAGGCTTCGCGGTCCTTACGTAAACACTGTCTAATCTTGCGCGTGAGCGCCTTTCGCTTATTGTTGTATTCACTGCCAGCCGGAATGGACCGGCGTTCATCCATGAGTTGCAAGGAACTCGCAGAAACCCAGTGGTTGTTAGCGGAGCATTCTTTCAAGCCGCAAGCGGCTACACTCGCCTTTTGCATGGCACCTTGCACATGAAGCCAGTGTTCATCTATACTACTTGGGGGGTTGCTGGCAAGCATTGACTGTAACTCATTCTGATATTTCAAAGAAGTAGCAGGTGCTACTAGTTTGCTCACATCAACGCTTAGACGACGGTTTTTACGAACCCCACCAAATCGCAAGACGAACTTGGCACACACTAACGCATGATCGGAGTCCAGGCATGTGCTCCAGAAGGAGCGACAGTCTTGTATGCATCCTCGCCACCGGAAACTGACCGCAATATGATCAATCTGAGTCCAAGCTTGCTTCGCAGAGGGAGGACGCCAGGTAGCGCTACGGCGATGGCTGTGCCGGAAGTTGGTGCTGGCTAGAAATAGGTTGTGATACGCGCAAAGCTGCAGAAGACGGTCCCCATTATCTGACCTGCGACCATGTAGTCCCCACTGACCACCTAGACGACTCTCCTCTGAGCTTAGACGCCCGACCTGTGCGTTCAAGTCCCCAGCTAGCACTACGATATCCCTCCGACCCGCCTGTTTCAACAGATCGCTCAGTTGGTAGTAAAACTCATCCTTCATTGCATCCGGGCTGCAATCCGTCGGTGCATAGGCAGAGACAACAAATAGACACCGCCTATCTGGCCTACTACTCCTTACTTTCGTATAACCTTCCAGCCTCACAGCACATAAACGACTGTTAATGGGAATCCAGTCGAGCAGTGCAGCTTCGGCTCTAGCGCTCAGTGCGACACCGACACCAGCTACGCCGGATGCTGATGCCACAGGGTCCCCGGATAAGCGCAGGTGGTACATACTACTAGAACTTCCAGATGGAGAGGACAGTCGAAGCACTTCACTGGGATCTTGAATGCGGGTCTCCGAAATGCAGCAGACATCGATAGCGAGGCTTTCCAAAGTTCTTGCCAACCCTGCCTGTTGTCCGATTTGCATCAGCGTCCGAACATTGTAGGTAGCCAGCTTGAACGCAGCACGCGGTTTCAGGATATCTGTGTTAGAAGTCACATTGGGGACAGCCATTTTGAGGACTACTCACTAACATCTCGAAACGACACAGATAGGCTAGGAATCCAAACAAAGGCGAAAGGCTGTCGAAGGTTAAGAAGTCAAGGTTAGGAAAGGTAAAATACAGGAAACTAAGTATAAAAATAAAAGTAAGGTTGGAAAGAGATATATCAACTGGGACATCATTATTGCTTGAGAGCATTGTTAAGAGCGCGCGATGAGTTTCACTGATAGTTCGTTGCTTCATTTAATTAATTGTGTGAGGGCTGAGATACTGCCCGGGCGCCCAAACCGAAGCAGGTGGTTTTCTTAAGGGACCACCCCCCGAGCCTTTGACTTGGAGTCTAATCCGCAAGGCAGCGGAGCAGCGTCAGGTGCTGCGTTCCCATGGTTGCCGGTGACCCATATGGGTTCGTACGCCATTTGATCCTATTGGATTCTGGAGCCCATGTACCCCATGGTAACTGCTTTTAGTCTAACCGCTATCCAAACAACCTTCCTGGCATGGTAGGACCTGCAGGGACATGAGTCCCAGCCAGTTTAGCTTGTTGGGTCACTGCGGCATTCAAGTTCGACCACCACGGCAAGGTAGCAGTTATCGGCCGGGGAATTTAGCTAAGGTAAGAATGGTTTACACCGAGAAGTAAAAAGCTCAGCAATTGCACTGCATACATTAACACACAACCACACAATAAGGTGGGAGATGGTGGAGATTCTAAGAAGTAATCTATGTTGGATGGTGAGAGAGATTGATTACTGAATCCTGGTTCGTCGGGTCTACACCCAACACATGCAACAGAAATGACTCAATGCAAATACCAGAAATATGGAAGATATTATTACCACCAGTCACTCTAGTCAGAGGAGGATAATAAATAATCTTAAAATTCTATTTCAATTCACGTACATCGCAATATTCTAACAAGTTACTTATTTTGACTATAAAAACACTCGTCTTATTTCCCATCTGATTGTACCTGATTGATAACACTAATATGATTTCTGAATGTACTTTATCTTATGCTGATTTTTATTCAAATGTCTAATCATCAATTTCACTCATGTATATAAAGGAAGCAAGAAAGTTGTGTGAGTACCTTGATATGATTATGAGCGGTAGTAATTTGTGCTCGAAACGTTGTCATCAGTTAATATTACTGTACAACAACACTGTGTGATTTATCAAAATAAAATCTTATCCATAATTGAGTTATACTCTACCACAGTGTCCAAGTTTTATACTTAAATTTTAAAAATAACTTTATTCTGAACAGTGTTTTTTTATGATTTACAGAATTTTCAGGGGAGTTTATTGCAGGATATTTTTTCCTTATCCAGCATTTTCAAATATAATATTGGCTAGATCGTATGACACAGTGCTATCTGACCTGATGCGCAAGCCAATCCATG